TGACTCGAAGGCAATCCTTCACACTAAGGGCTGGTTATACTCCCGCTGTAGTGTGTCGCAGTGAGCTTGTCACAGGTTTGACGCAAATATTTTTGATTTTTGCCCAATATTGAAGCGTGGTCTGCGCTACGTTATTCCACACCACAAAGCAAAAGGGGAAAATCAGGAACTAGTTGTGGGTCTAGATACGGCCGAGGCAGTAGGGAAATGGAGGCAAGTTTGTGAGACAATGGAGGTACGTGAGGGTGAAAAAGAGTCCCAGCGTTTTCGCACACCTAGCTCTTCTAGCAGATCCATCTACACGAGTCGTTTTCCACAATTGGCGATCATACAAACAAAACAAGCCGGTAAGGTTCCAAAACATGAAATACACATAGTGTAGAGCGGATGTAGATTTGACCAATCTGAGGCCTCCTGTCACCTACAATTTGGGATAGGTGCACCAGAGTGTCTGCAGACGGGGACTTCTCTGCGTTCACCACGACACCTGGTTTCGAAATATAAAGCAGAATGCTTGTAGCGACAGTGGAGAGACTTGTTATAGCCAAGTCTAACATAAACATATGAGAATATTAAGCTTTGCATCGCCTGGTTAACTTGATGATTTTCCTTTTTCCTAACATTTCAAAACGGAGGTCTTCAACAGGTGATCTGGGAAACCCAGGGGATCCACGGGGGTACTGCATTTTTTATATTCCTCCCAATTTTTTCCACTAATTGAAATTTCTTTAAATCTACATTAACATGAATTCAACACACTGTAGTAAACAGATAAATGGAGGCAGAAGATGTCTTTCAGTCATCAATGCACACATTCAGCGACACACAGGAGCTCTTTCAAGCTGGGCACCGTTTCTTTCACAACACCTGTCCCATCAACCAGGAATCAGAATCAGAAATACTTTAATAATCCCAGGGAGAAATTACTTTCAATACATTACTCCATCTGCAATACAGTGACTATAGGACTAGTTTCACATAACACAATTTCATAATACATATATAATTAGGGTGTCCCCGCTCCATCTCGCCATCAGTTTGGGGGTCCTTGGCCTGGAAAACGTTGAAGACCCCTGTTTCATATAGATCGCGCTGCAGTATCCCTTGATCACCACAAGGGGATGCTAATGCACCCAAAATACAGATTTGCAAAGAAAAAATGTTAAACTGAGTAACTGTGCAAAATAATGCTGTAAATATACATTTAAGTTATTCTACATCGACTTAAAAGCCTCAAATATTTTTTTTTCTAATTCTATTAGAGAAGTGGAATTCAATGCTATATTTTATGAGCTTTTTATATAAGTTTGGGGGTCCTTGGCTTGGAAAACGTTAAAGACCAGTTGTTTTAAAGGTTTCTTAAAATGTGCATAACATTTAGATGGAAACACAACTAGTGGCTAATAGTTGTTTATTCCTCTCAGCGCCCCTTATGATATGCCACCCAGAGCAGAAAGTCACATCACCCCTGACTAAAATAATCTAGAAGCTAAGTAGGTAAAATCAGGCATAATTTATTAGCTGAACATTAGTTAATTTAAATGCAAACTTTTTGTATTTACTTATTTTTCCTCTTAACTTTCATTTTCTGCCTTCTTGATTGTTTCCTGTTGTCTGACTGACAGTTTCTTGTCCCATAAGGATTGAACCATTCTGTCTCCTGCAGGGGTTCCTGCTCTCAGACCTACTTCCCAAAGAAGCTGCAGATGTGCTGCTGGCAGTGGTCCAGATAGCCGCTGCCATGCAGAGTGGAGTTGGACACCAGCAGGAGTCTCCTCTTCATGTCTCCAGGCTCTCACACAAACACTGGTCCGAGCTGAGCTCTTTGGTTTGGTTGAGTCCAAAGTTCGGAGTCCGGCTGATTGTGCTGAGTGAGTCTGAAGGAGCAGGAAGCTCCTGTAAGCAGAGCTGGACTGACGTCACTTTCTGCTTCTGTCAGCAGCAGCAGGAGCTCCTACTGCTGGATAACATTAGTTTTTTTTTATTTTCCGTTTCCTTAATAAATGCTTGATATAGAACTTTTAAGATTAGAGTTTTGTTTGTTTCGGCTGCATCTTTGTTTATTTTTCCTTTTTCATAAAGGTTTTGTAGTTGTGTGTCATATTTTAAAAATAAAACAGTTTTAAGCTTATTTCTGTCACATGAGGAACGTAATTTGCTAATGGATATAGGTCTACTATAAAATCAAATCAAAACGGAAACACCTTACTCTTTAAGTCCTATCAAAATAAAAGCCCGGGTAATGCAAAATGAAGCATATAATAATTTAACCCTTTAAAACCAATGATTTCATATTTGATACATGAGTTTTTGGGATCATCAGTGTGATCTTGCTGATCTTAAAAACCCTGACTTACACACTCAGACACGTGAGCAGAAATGCCTAATGTTTTAAAATTGATGCAAATAAATTATCAAATTTTACTTATACAAAATGTATTTATATATTCTTTTGTTTCATTTTTCAAAGACCTCAATAACATCTCTAAATAAAAAAAATAAAATTTTCTGTCAGTTATTTCATGGTCCAGGCTTTAGGGGTTAAAACAGTGTATTGTGGAGAATATGGTAGGCTATATACAAATAAAGAAATCTGAAAATGTAACTATTCCTCTGCTTCTCTTCTTTTAACTGTTTTTTTGTTTGTTTGAAATATTACATGTTTTTCATTATCAAGTCTGCATAGTTCATCTACTCATGACAATAAAGCCTTCATATATAAACACATATTAATGTATCTTTACAAATTAAACATTAATGATGTTAATTATGTGAAAATACGCATCAGAATATTTGCTATTATAAATAAAAAAAGTATCAGAACCTTTAGATGAAAATTATTTTATTTTCTGTTGATATATAAAAATAGATTACAGCCTACGACACAAAGAAGTTAATGAAAATAATTTTTAAAAAGCATTGCAATACATTTAATGTATGAATAAACATAAAGAGTAGTTAACTTATAGATTTGACAGTAAATTAAAATAGTTATTCCAGAATCGGAGGAGGCTTTCCTTGAATTTCAAATAAGCCACAGAAAAAATGATAGAAATACACTCCTCTTCTGTTATTTCCCTTGCTAAAAATTAAAAGCAACATGTAAATAACACAATATAACTTGAACCAAATCAAGCTTCTGTGAAATCCAACTGTCCACTTAGGAAGCAACACAGATTGAAATCAATTTCACATGGCGTTGTGCAAATGGAACAAACAATAGGTGGGAATAATTGGGAATAAGCAGGACACATTCAGAAATAGTGGATCTGCAGGTGGGGAGCACAGACCACTTCTCAGGACCTTTGCTTTCTGGCTGATTTTTTGGTCCCTTTTGAATGCTGGTGGTGCTTTTACGGTAGCATGAGATGGATTCTACAACCAACAACAGTGGCTCAGGTATTGCAGCTCATCCAGGATAGCACATCAATGGGAGCTGTTGCAAGAAGGTTAGCTGTGTCTGTCTGTGTAGCATCCAGAGGCTGGAGGTGCCACCAGGGGACAGGACTGAACAGCAGGGGACATGGAGGTTTCCACAATGGTGGTCATACAAACAAATCAAGCCGGTAAGGAACCAAACAGGAAATATGCATAATGTAGAGCAGATGTAGATTTGATCAATCTGAGGCCTCCTGTCCGCGGTCACCTACAAATTTGGGGAGGTAAAGCAGAGTGTCTGCAGAGGGGGTGCATCCATCCATCCAGCCAGCCAGCCAGCCACCACCCACCCACCCACCCACGACAGGTTGCATCACAGACTGCCAAGGAGTTGGTGGATGCCTTAGTTCAGGTCTGAGAGGAATTATTTTGATTTGTTTTAAAGGCATTACATCAAAGTTTAATTTTGTGTGTGACTCCAAATCCAGGCTTCCATTGGTTAATAAAATGTAATTTCCGTTACAGATTTTTGTCTGATTTTGTTGTCAGCACATTCAGCTTTATACAAAACAAAATATTCAATGAAAACATGTAATCTAGGATGTTATTTAAGTGTTCCTTATTTTTTGAGAAGTGTTTTTTCTGACACAATAAATAACTGTAGTAAAACTAATTCCTAAATACTTTTATAAATTCTAAAGAGCTGAAGACTCCATCGTGGCGTTTTTGCTCTCGTCCATCCTTCATAGATCTGATTCAAATCAGATTTTTTTTATATATATTGTTTATATCTATTCAATGCATTTATTAACATATTTAGTTTTATCACAGGCATATTCCATATTTTAATAATTATGCTCTAAAATTGTTTGTCAGTAAATAAGTAAAGCACATCTAGGGTGTGATTAGATAAAAAACTTCTTTAGCATTGATTTATATCCTTTTGTACCAGATCTAGACTGAACTCCTTTTGTCATATTTAATGTTTTTAACAAGCCGTCCTGTTTATCCTTTCAGAGGAGGATTTGTTAAATATTGTTTAGAACATTACTGTGATTCTAACTATTCCTTTTTGTCAGTTGCATTATATTTTAAATTCAAATATAATGTCCAAATACTTCAAATAAGTAATTTTAATCCTTTTCACCACATATTAATATAATCTTAAATAACATTCTGTGACTTTAAACTGTCCTCCTGAAATGTAATAAAAGAAATCTACCTATTCCTATACTTCTAATTTTAAAAGATGTTTTTTTTTTTTTTGGGAAAAATTTCGTTCATTACTTTCATGTTTTTTGTGAAAGCAGAAAAAAGAAAAAAAAAAAAAAACACATATTTTTAACTATTGGAACTTAAATTGTTCTAAGATTCTGGAAAAACCCCAAATAGGAATTTAGAGATATAGCTTTTCCTTTTGTATGTATGTTAAAACAAATCAGATGAAAGTTTTGTTGCTAGATAAGGTTTTCCTTTTTGCCTTTTAGTCTAAAATGAGGAAATAGCAGCTTTAATAGCAGCTTGGTGATCTACGTGGAGCCAACATGTCAGCTGGGGCTCCTTCGCTCCATGTCACACATGTGGAGAAATGAAAGAGGCGGGGCCAAACCCCATCTGGATGAGAAACATCTGGACGTCTCCCTCTCTCTCTGCTCACATAGAGGCAGAACATGTAGACCTAACCACACAAAGACTGGATTCCTCCCACACAACATGGCTCGGTGCTGGACGCATTTGACCGAGCTCCTGGTCCTCCTGACAGCCGGTGAGTTCTGCCAGTTGGGAGCTTTTTATCTCTTTTCCTCTGAGTTATTTAAAGACAGCCAGGCTCGGGGGGCTGGATGAGGAGGGGGTCGCTTTGTTTTGGAAAGGGAACAGTTTCCCCTGCCTTTTATTTAATTAAAAGCATGAATAAAGTCAACTTTCTTCTTTTTTCAAATTTCATTCAATAAGCAGAATATTTAAAAATCGAAAAAGTAGGCCTCTGTTTACCTATTTTCAGTCAAGTTTAAAGTTAAAGTGTTGAAGAGTAAAAGTACAGCAGTCAGCATTATGTACTTGATCTGTTAACAGTAACATATTTAAAATTCAGGACTTGTAGGCTGGTTTACTTTTCTCTCCTAAATGATCTCTTTACTGGAGCAAAATCAAACATGTTTCCTTTAAAGCATTTCTGTTTAATTTATGCTTTATCACAGTCTTTGTTTTTTTCATCTTTTCCTGGGGCGTTACTCACTTTAAAGCTATATCAGAACATGAGATCTCACAATAGAAGGTCCACGAAGCTTTTCCTTATTTCTGTTTATAGCCTTCCGTGTCTAAAAGCAGTAGTTGCCCTCCTACAGATTATATCTGTTCTTGCTTGTTTCTCAAACTTCATTGTTGTGGTTATTCTGATAAAACTGTAGGAAAGAGTGGAAAGGAATGAAGATTCACAGGTATTATTAGAAAAACATGTCTTCAATATTTCAACTCAAAGAGTTTGATTTAGAAAAGGAAAGGCTGAGTTCATAAAAGAGGTAAGAAGGAACTGAATTTAATTCAATTTATTTCACTTCAGTTTATTTATATAGCTCCAATTCACATCACATGTCATCTCAAGGCAGTTTACAGTTCACCAGATCATACAATTAAATTAATTCAAAGTTTTCTATCTAAGGAAAACCAGTTGATTGCATTGACTTATTGTCTCGAATGCAATCCCTCACACTAAGCATGTTTGTAGTGACAGTGGAGAGAAAAAACTCTGTATTAACAGGAAGAAACCTCCAGCAGAACCAGGCTCCGTGTGAGCGGCCATTTGCCGAGGCTGACTGGGGGTTCAAGGACATAGGAGATACAAAAAGAAACTTTAAAAGGCGGCCTCGTCCAGGAAACACACAGCCAGGCAGACGAGGATGAAGAGAGCACATCCAGAGAAACAGGACTGCACTGAAAAACTAACTCCAACATCTATAAACCATGGTGTTGATGGCAGCAGCACAGCTGATATTTCTCTCCTGGACGGTGTCACAGCCAAACAGGAACAGCAAGGCAAAGCTACTATGAGAAAAAGCAGAGAGCATAACATAAGAGATGAACTAACAGATTCTGCAGAGTGGGAGAATAGAGATAGAATGATGAAAAAGGGGTCCCTATGTCCTCCAGCAGTCTAAGCTATAGATATACCAGCACAACTATAGAGATAGTTCAGGATAACCTGAGCCACTCCAACTATAAGCTTTATCAAAAGGGAAAGTTTTAAGCCTAGCCTTAAAAATAGACAGAGTGTAAAACTGGTAGTTGGTTCCACAGGAGAGGAGCCATTCTACTTTTAGAAATTCTAGGAACCACTAGTGAACCGGCAGATTGAGAGCAAAGTGCTCTATCAGGGACTTCAACGAGTAGGAGCTGTTGGTTCTGTCCAATCAGCTTTTATCCAAGTGCTCTAAACCTTGACTGCCATCTGTCAGGGCAAATGCCCATGAACTTTGGAAAGCAAGAAAAGAAAAACAAGATTTAATAATGTCCAGAACCTGAACAAGAACTGATTGGATAAAACTACATAATGTACGTTAATCATTCAATAATTTGTTGTAATTGAAGAGTTGTTATTGTCTTCGGATGAAAAAATGAATGAAAGTGCAGTAGATCTACTAACATTAAGGTGTGGGAATGATATAGTCAGACATGCAAAACCAGACTAAAAAAAAAGCTTTAAGTTGATCATTGAGTGAACCAGACCACTAGTTGTTTTCCTTTAGTGGCAATAAATTCCTCCAGGTTACAATAATGGACACTCGAACTTGTACACTGCTCTGTTCTTTGCAGATATATATATTTTTTATTCAGCTATATTGGGAAATCTCTTTTCTTTTCTCCCTCTACTTCTCCAGCAGTGTCTCCTGCAGTCTATGGATGAAAGGCAGAGTGCGCCCTGGACAGGTCGCTGTCTATCACAGGGCAGAGGCACTGCCATGGACACACACCTGAGGGCCATTTAGAGACACCAGTTAGCCTTAACAGTCATGTTTTTGGGATGTGGGAGGAAGCCAATGTTCCTGGAGAGAACCCAAGCACAGATGCAAGACCCTAGGTCTGCTGATGAAGATTCTCAGTCATCCAGGTCATAGTCATTCCGTAAAAATTTAAAAACAATCCACTGGACTTGGTTTCCAAGGTTTCTGGAGGGGAAGCGAAATGTCTTAAACCTCGGAAACCAAGTCCAGGGGATTGTTTTTAAACTTTTACGGACGACCATAGGTCAACAATCAAACTAAGGACCTTCTTGCTGCAAGGCAACGGTGCTACAAACTGCCTCACAGTGCAGCCCTGATCTTAGGCCCCGTCCACACGAAGTCAAAACAAACACGAAACGCTAATATTTTCCAAAACGTTTGTCGTAAAGACGGAGACGTAAAATAAATGTGATCGTCCACACAAATGAATGAAAACGCTGCAAAATGTATGCCAGGCCTGTAAGTGGCGCTGTGGTGCCAAAGTAAAAATAAGCGACGAAATGTCGGGCATGTGCACTAATATTTATACATGGTTGCCCTGCGGGTCCATTTTCGTGGTTAAGTCAAATTCAGGTGCTGAACTATGTCTTCAATATTGCTCTGTTGTTCCTGGAGATATTCCAGAAGAAGAAGATTCTGTTGTAAGCCCGACAGCAGGGTGAGTAGCATTAGCAGCAACCATTCAACACAGTACGGCGCCATTGTTGTTGTGATACTGTGTCGCGCATGCGTGTTTAGAGGCGACGCTATGACGCATGCGTGTAAAAAAAAAAAATGCGGTTAGAGCTTAAAGATGGAAACGCGAAAACGGCGTTTCAGAATCTTCCCACTCTGAAGGCTGAATAAAAAAAAGATCGTTTACAGACCCCCGAAACGCCGGCTTCGTATGGATGAGAGGCTGGATTGGTTAAAAATTTGTGCGTTTAGGCCAGGGTTCGGCTTCGTGTGGACGGGGCCTAAGATATCACATATTTCTAAAAGCCACCTTTGCTTATTTCCCCAGAAAACCTGCAGAACATCAAGATATTTTGGCCTTTTACTGTAGATGTTTTAAATCAGCAGCTACTCTCCCATTAAAAATCCTGTTAGTGCAGATTTTACCCAGATTCTTTAATATTGTTGAGTCATGAAAAAACAGATTTTTTTTTATGTTGTTTTTGTGACCTACATTATAAGTCTGGGATCTGCTTCTGGAGTAATTTTGGTTGGTCAGCCACACCTAAGAAGGTTTTAAACTATTCCATATTATTTCTATTGACTGATAATACATCTCATTGTGGCTGGAGTCCAGTGGTCTTAGAGATGACTTTGTAAACAATGCCAGGCTGATGTCAGTGACTGTTTTATCCACTCTTGACTATTTTTGTTTATTAAGGTATAATTTGTGTCTTTTTAACAACTTTTTCTTTTTAACTTTTAACCTATTTTTGTTGTTAGACAGGTTATATTTTAGCTGTTTTTATGACATTACATGTCTTTCAATACTCTGTTCACCTAACTTTTTTTTTGCACATCAACTCATAGTTAATCCTTCTACCCCCAAATTACAATTAAATTAAATCCAATTTATTTACACAGCCTGTCTTCATTTCTGGTTCTTTGTCCTGTTACGGGCCAACTCTGTGGGAGAGCAAATACTTTATCACAGCATTGTCTCCACAATCTATGGTGTCAGATTATCATAGGCAGTCTTTTAACATAAAGCTTTTTGTTACAGTTTTATTTAATAAAATAATAATTAGCAGTGACAGATCATCACTGCTACAGTGGGGCTTTGTTAGCTAACTAGTGTGGAATTTCTAATCACAGAAAAATGATAAGATGAAATAACTCTGTTGCCTATCAAATGTCCTCAGATGGATACATAAAAATTAAAAGGCAGAGCTAAAAGAACAGTGTTATTAAAAAGAAAAACACTGAAATATTTTTAATGCACGTCTAACCGTTCCATTAAAAAAAACAAAAACATTAAAAAGTGAACAAATTAATTAAATAAGATCCTGAATTATATAAGCAGTGATTAACTGAAGTATTCCTTATTCATAAAAGTCCCAGCAGAGACAACAAAGGAATGTTCATGCCTGTTTTTCTTTATATTGATGATAGATAATTAGTTAAGTTAACCCTCAACAACATGACTGCACGTTGTTTCATAGTTAGTGGCTCCATTATGGTTCACTAACATTTTTTTTATGTTGGAACTGAGCAATAAATCCAAGGTTACTAAAGTTTCATTTATATCGTAATTTGGTGCTTTTAATGTCACACCCATTTAACCACTTGCTCAGGACAAAAAAAAACAAAACACAAACAAAACAGACTGAATGCTGGGAAACTGCATAGTTTGGTGGTGTGGCCACACCCCTTGTTCCAGTATCAGCGGGGCGTGGCGTCCTCTCAGGGTTGGATACAGCTTTTAGCCTGGTGCATATTGATCCCCAACTAATGAAAATCCCCAACAGATCCAGCAGACCACCGTGGGGGTGTAGTAAACCTGATATCTACTGAGGGTACAGAACATGCTAACATTACTCAAGCAGTCTATAAAGACTCACCCCCTTCTTGATAGGGTCCATTGTCTAACCTGAATTTGGCAACAAGTGGGCACACTAGTCATCTGTGGGTTGAAGAAGCAAGATTTTGGGGGTAAATGTCTTATAGTTCCACTCCTCATCCACTCTGGCTTTCTGGTGACCACACCACTGGATGTTAATGGAAGCCAAACATGCAACATTCCCATCTCTGATGAGCGTGTTTGCAAAGTTAGGTCTAAAATCAAACTAATGTTAGTGCTTCTATGAAGTGAATTTTGTTCCATTATTGTTTCAAGCAAACAACACGCTTGTAAATGAAGCTTTGACAAAAAACCAATTTAGAAATAAAACTGAAAAATATCTGGATGAAAAAAAGGTTTGAAGAGGAACTTTGGTGTTTTCTCAATATATATATATATATATATATATATATATATATATATATATATATATATATATATATATATATATATATATATATAGATAGATAGATAGATAGATAGATAGATAGATAGATAGATATATACATAAATTGATTGAACAAATTGTTTGAACAAATACAAACAGGAAATATCACATGAAAAAATAACCAAAAAATAAATAAAAAAATCCAAGACAAAAAACAACATTACTCTCAAAACATCTTTTAAGTCATTTTTTTCTTTTAAAGTTTAATGTCTGGATTCCATTTTTTTCATATTTTTTAATTTTCATTTTTTTTCTTTTTATTTACAATCACGAAATAGTCAAATAATGCCACATAATTCAGTCTGTAGTTTTTAAACTGTAACAGTTTTTAGGTCGACTAACTGGTGCTTTTGAGTCCATTCGTGCTTCGGTGAGAAAAGCCTTCTGTAGAAATGTAGGATCCTCCATTCAATGTACGGTTCATCCTTAAAAGCCCTGCATTATCTCACATCTAACAAAGAGCAAGTATGTGTGTGTATGAAATGCCACTTGTAGAGAAGAAGCGCAGAGAGGATTTCTTGGCTCTCTTTAAGACGCTGGAGAGGACAGAGCCTGGCACTAAAAGTTAATCTGGGTTCATGTGTTTTGGAGTTTTTTTTTTTTTATCGCAACTCTTTAACACAGAACTAAAAGGCTACAAAATTAAACAAACATATTAATAAAACAGGTACATAGAGAGAAACAACAACAAAAAAGTCTGAATATTGTTTATATCCAGTAATTTATTCAACATAACATTTAATGATGAATAAACCTTTTTATTCTTTGTTTACTTTGAAGGATAATTTCCAATCTATTTTACTGATGAAAGATGTAGATCTTTCTCATATTGGCTTAGCCTCGACTGTTCCTGTTTGGCTGTGACACCACCCTGGAGAGAAATATCAGCTGTGCTGCTGCCATCAACACCTTTGCTTATAGATGTTTGAGATTAGCCTGTTTTTCAGTGTAGTCCTGTTTCTCTGACTGTGGCTGGCTGGATGTGCTCTCTTCATCCTCTGACATGGGAGTTGGCTTGGAGCTTGTCTGCCTGGCTATGTGTTTCCTGGACGGGGCCGCCTTTTACAGTTGCTTTTTGTATCTCTGCTTCTGTCTCCTTGAACCCCAGTCAGCCTCAGCAGATGGCCGCTCAAACTGAGCCTGGTTCTGCTGGAGGTTTCTTCCTGTTAAAAGGGAGTTTTTCCTCTCCACTGTCGCTACAAGCATGCTTAGTGTGAGGGATTGCATTCAAGTCAATGCAACCAACTGGTTTTCCTTAGATAGAAAACTGAATCAATTTGACTGTATAATCTGGTGAACTGTAAAGTGCCTTGAGATGACATTTGTTGTGAATTCGCGCTATATAAATAAATTGAATTGAATCTTTCATGTTGTTCTAAAATCCCTGACTCAGAGTCCAGTTTTATAAAAAAAACTGGACATACATAATTACCAAGTTAACTAAACAAGGTACAAAAAACAAAACAAAAAAAAAACAGCCACAGGTGCTTCATACAACGTTAAATCACCACAGGCAGCTCAGTATGATGCCTTTAACCCTGTCCTATTGCCAGGAGTGTCATAATGGTTTTAGAGATCTGACCCACATGTAGAGAACCACTCAGAGACCAAAGGTAAAAGTTTAACAGGTTTATTGAATGTTGAAAAAACACTGAAGAGGAAGCTGGAACTCAGCGGACTGGTGAACAGGAACTGGAAAGTCTGAGGGGAGTTCACAGTGATCAGTTCAGGGACTGTAGGAAAAATGACTGAGGCTTAAATATGCTGCAGAGAAACTCACTCTTGGGGGGCTCTTTGTTAATCCTTGAATCCAGTTTGTGGGGGTTTAATCCAGAGAAGAGAAAACTCGTTGGAGAGCGGACAGGAGGACACACATTGGACCCAGAGGAGTACAGGAGCGGACTGTCACTTGGTTTTCCAGATGAAGACTTGAACGGATCATGTGGAGATTTTCCCCTACTCAGTGTGAACTCGGTAAATCCTTCCAGGGGGAGAAGGACCAGGCTATCCAGTAACACAGGAAGGCTTCCTGCCGAAGAGCAAAGACAAAAAACAAGATAAGACTCAGAGAAACAATGCTAAAGTTTAGACTCTGCTAATCTCAGCTCGGCTAGAGTACCCAAAACTGGCAAACACTCTGGCGTCGAGTTAGTGACAGCCCGCTGCTCAAGTACTCCTCCGGTAATGACCTAACTAGCCGCAGGTGTGCAGGGAGACCCAACGAGGACAGGGCACCACCTGGTGGTGGAGAGAGGAAAACACAAAAACAACCCACACAAACTGGAATCCTAACAAGGAGAAGTTAAAAATGAAATGCTGAAGTCACTAAAAAAACTACATTAGGCGTGTTTCCATAGTTTTTGCAGATGTTTGGACTCATACTGCACTGCATTTCATGAACCCGAAGGCTTTAAATGTTTCTATTGTTCAAACAGTCTACATCATATCACTTCAATGTTCTCTCCCTCTGGTCTTCCAGGTGCTGTCCACTCTTTAGGAGCATATGTGTTGTGTAAGTGGTGCGATGCTTCCACACCTCGGTGCAAAGACCACATCTGTTTCAGCAACTGCAACCTGACCTCCACCTGCGAATCTGATACAGAAATCTGTGTTTCTATTTGGTGAGGCTCTTCAATACTCTGCACTGTGCCGTATTTTTTCCCCCACACACTTATTTTAAGCCTTATTCAGCAATATCCCTTCACTGAGTGTCTATAAGCCCCAAAGCACGTCTCAAACATGTTTTCTGATGTTGAGCTTAATATTCCTTGGAAGTTTTTTTTTTTTTTTTTGCTGTATGTTTGACCACTCTTCTTCATTAAGTGGTTTGGTTAACGTGTTTGGAGTTTTTTGTTCAGCTTTGGTAGACCAGCTTTAAATCTACTTATTCCAAAAACAGTTGGAAAAACATTGAGTTCCTTTCTGAACACCAAGTTTTGTCCAACCTGTCAGTTATTGGTTTGAAATTACAATAGTGGAGCAACAGTATTTTGTGCCAATAAAGACTGGTATCTTTGGGGGGTCTGAATGGTTCTCATGTAATCTGGCAATTTGCTTTCATTGTCATGATTTTATCAAGAGCTCGGACCCACATGCAGAGAAACCATTACAGAGAGACCAGGAAAAAAGTTTAACAGGTTTATTGAGAAGCTTGTGGAGATTCCAGTGTTGCTCTAAACACTGCTCAACCGGAACTGAAAGGTGAGGGGAAGACACTGCGGTTAGCTCAGGTTCAGTGGGAAAATTGAATCTCGAACTTGAAGAGGAGAAAAGGTTCGCAGACTCACGTTTCCAGAAAAGTGGTTGACTCTTTGACTCCACTCGGTGTGGGGTGTTCCAGTGTTTGTCTCATTCGGTGGAGGGCGGACAGGGTTTACCCAGAATGCGTTTGTTTGTAGGAGAACGGAGAAACTGACTGCCACTGAGATTTCCTGCGGTATTTGAACAGACTGTGGTGCAGATGAATCCCTTGCTCAGTGTGAAACTCAAACGATCCCTTGGAGAAAAGAGGATCCAAACCTCCAGTTTGAATCCCCAGCTCAGTTTGAGGCTCAGTTGATCCTTCCAGGGAGAGAAGGCCCGAAACTTCCAGTTTGCAGGATGACTTCCTGCCGAGAGGCAAAGACAAAAATAGCAAGATTAAAACTCAGGTTGACAAAAAACTCAGTTTGACTCAGCAAAACTCAGCTTGGCTAAAGTACCCAAAACAAGCAAACACCCTTTGCAGGTGTGTGAGGAGGTGAATCAGGACCAGGCGTTGCCTGGTGGAGGAAGGAAGACAAACACACAAAACACAAACCAAACAGACAGGATTCCTAACATTCATCAGAAAATATTGGAATTTTGGTTGCCACACAGGAGACAACACATTCATACAACTTTTAGTTATTTTAGAAAAAGATCTCATTATCTAGATATATTTAGAAATGACCTTTTCCAGCTTATTAACAAATTCCATTTCAGGAAACTTTTAACTAAAACTAAAACCTAATCACAGAAATTAGAATCATTAACAAGCTTTAGCGGACTTAAGGTACAACACATTCTACAAAGTTCCGGTTTATAATTTTCAAATATTTATTCAAATGTGTATATATTCAGAGGTGGTTGGTACATTTACTCATTTAAATTACTTGCGTGAGTTTTCGAAATTATTGTAGTTTTGGGACTAGTTTTACTTTTCTATACATTTTACTTTTACTTAAGTAATGTTATTGTGGGTGTATTGCTATCAAATCACAAGAAAATTGTGGATATTTCCGGTTAAAGAGCTTTTTCCTATCCTAACATATGCTTACCTATTTTAAAGATTGGTTTTATAGGTTTATTTCAAAGTTGATATGAAACAGTGTTTCTTCTGCACAGATGTATTATTTTTAAATTGTAGTATTTATATGTGTTTTTGTTTTATCCTATAATTTGAAATACTAGAATTTCAACATAGTTGTCTGTCTGATTAGAAAATGTTAAACATTAAATTAGATGTCACAAGTCAACAATTACTCGGGACCAGAGAGGAAATCACTTATTAGGCTGGTATTCATCTACATCATAAATTAATCTTATCTCATGACTAAAACTTTAAATAACCGACCTCATTGTATTCTGATGCTTATTGAAATTTGTATAAGCATGTTTGCTTATATATTGCTTCTTCTAGCAGCTTTAATCAACGGGACTAAATAAATAGCAACCGAATAATTTTATTCCCTCTGTGGTAAAATTCTGGTTTGTCTGTGTCAAAACTAATATGCAGCCTGAAGCATATTTATCAAGTGTTTGTGCACATTAGTAAAAAACAGAAATAAATGTGTAAATATATACCATGAGTGTACAAAGCAGTTCAGCCTTTACTAAAAATGGAGGACTAAGAATTTTCACCAGCATTTCAAGATAAGGTAAAAACTGCACAACTTTGTTTTTATTGGTGATTACTGTATATGAAAAAAAAAAAAAAAAAAAAATTAAGAATGCCCTCTAAGTGTTTAAATGGCCAACTAAAAGTCCAGGCCTGGACTTTCACTAGGCAATGAAAACAGTCTGTTGCCAGTTATTGGAAATGCCTGACTGCAGTTTTTGCCCCCAAGGTTAAACACTAGATCATTGTTTTCATTTACTCTAAGCTGGTGTTTGTCTTGTCTAGATTGTTTATGTTATAATTTACTTATAGTGTTTAAAAAAGATGGAATAAAAATACCTTCTGTAGCGTTGAGGAACACCAAAATGGAGCACTTATTTTTTTCTCCATTGGCACTAGTCCAAACAGCCAGAGAATAAAAACAGCTCCACTTAGCTTCTTCACCATGGTGTTGACCAGCATAATGAATCACACAACTGACTATCATAAGAAGATCAAATAAAGCTAAAGTTCGGTCATTTGAGATTGTTTGTCCTGTTTATACGCATGCAAAGTAAAAGAAAACCGACTTTGTTTCGATAACGATCTTACACAGGGATTCCCTAGTCTGCCCTTTTTCTAATTTCCTGCTTAAGCCAGTCCAGATCACCAGGGCTTCCCACAGAAAAGTGGAGATAAGAAGGAGCTAAGAGCAAAAATAGAGAACCTAAAATGAAGAGTTTATCTTGACAGCATAAAGAAATCTCTCTCAGAGGATATACATCACAATGTCACATACAGTAACAATAAAAGAGATTTAGATCGTTAACGTTTAACACCTATTTATGTGTTTCACATACAGAGCAGAGACTGAGGATCATGCTAGCTTACTTTGTGATACTTTACAAGAAGGAGGATTTTGGATATGTCTTTGGTAGTGGCAAAAAAGATAAGTTAATAATTGTCCTTTTGTCATATTAATGTAACTAGATAGAAATCTAGTCACTGCCCTTCTCTTTTTTCATAATTCCAAACTAGCTTTAATTTCAGAGCTAATTTACAATTGCATTATTAAATGTGTTCATATGACAGAATTACATTTCTGATCTTAAATAAAACATTAAATGATTTAAATTGTTAATATAAAAGTGATATTAGCACCAAATAAAACCAACATGAATAAAGAACATCCATCTTCTACCACTTGTTTGCCAGGGTATGCTGGAGCATTTCTCCAGCCATCTTTTTAAGTGTTTCTAAATTTTAAATTTGATTAAATTTGATTTTAAGTGTTTCTAAAGAAATATATAGGCCTATATGTTTGATTCTCACTGGATTTACATTGACATCTACTGAAGAGGCTGTTGCACTATTTATTATTTATCTCAACATTGTCCTTTTTACCCTCTTGTTCATGATTACCTTTTATATATTTGTCAAATTAATTTCTTAGTTTAGATAGCTTTGGAGGCCATTGTACAGTGCAAAGCATATATAGCACATATTTCAGTCAGCATATTGAAGAAGTGACTTTAACTTTTTGGACACAGTTTTGATATTTTTGCTTTGGTTCTAGAGCTTTTATTATATAACTCGCAAATTACATACCCCTCACATTGCACCTTAGCATGTTCTTGGTCTGAATGAGGCTTTAATGTATACCTCTAACAGGATTCTAAATTAATATGGATTAAAATTGCATTAGCATGATTTATCGTTTTAAATAAACAACCTCAGTTCATCTTTTTTATAGCAATTATAGTCATTTTGACAAGAAATTTCATTTTAAAGCTGTTGGAGGTCACATGAAGATGTTTTCTACACTTGCAGGAGGAAGACAAATAACTCAGTGAAGGTGCAAACGATGTGCCATGACCCCAAAGTGCCCCTAGATGGCGTTGACCCAGCATTGTTGCTGAATTTCACCTCCAGAAAATGTGCCATGGTCCATCAGCCTTCAGTGAAAGGGACCATGATGGTCTGTGGATGCCAAGGCGAAGAGGAATGTAATGACAGGCTCATCTTTAGCAAGGGATTCAGTGGTGAGCAATGGATGAAGAGAATATCGCTTAATGAATGTAGCAGGAAAGGAAATTTTTTTTAATGATTGTACATAATTGGTGTGATACTGGATAAATTAATTTGTAAAAAAGATTGAAGGACCATAACCAAAAAGATAAAACATGGAATGGCAATTTTCCTTGATAGATTCACTTCTATTGTGTCTACAGGTTTCTCTGGGTTGCAAAATAAGGATGTGATTGGAGTGGTAGTCATCAGTTTGGTACCTCTCGTCCTCATAGTCATAGTGGCCACTGCTGCCTTCTATTTCTACCAGATACGCCGCCATGATTGGCCTTCCAAACCCACACCAGAGCTCTATCAGGCCTTGGCCGTACCACACAGTGGACCAGTGCCAAGAGACGAAGGAGGAGAAAAAAGACGAGAGGATCTTGATATCGAACAGGAGGATTTTCATACCAAAGAGCTCAGTCTAAGAAATGACAACAGTTATAGGTCAGATTTGCAAAGGGATGACCTCCTGCCCATCAAACTGGATCAAATGGTGGGGAAGGGACGCTTTGCTGAGGTGTGGAGGGCACGGCAGCTGCACAGTGAGAAAGGGGGAGTCAACCGGTATAAAACTGTGGCTGTAAAGGTGTTCCCGAGTAAGGAATATGCCTCTTGGAAAAACGAGTGCTCTGTCTTCTCTGACCCTACGCTGCACCATGACAACTTAGTACAGTTCCTTGGAGCCGAAGAGATACCAAGTAGCGCTCTCCAAACCTACTGGTTGGTCTTGGCCTACTACAGTCTTGGAAATCTGCAGGACTTCCTTACGTCTAACATAGTAAGCTGGGAGGAGCTGATTGCCTTGGCAGGTTGCATTGCCAAAGGATTAGCTCACCTTCACAGTGACACAACAACCAATGGAATACCAAAGGTAAACTTAAATTATGAACTCTTGATACCATGACCTACAGAGAGGCTATTCAATGATAATCTTTTGTTGTGCAAGAAAATAGTCTATTAAAAGTCGAAAAACCAGGTTGATCTGGATCTGTGAACAAGGATTAGTGATCTAAAACTTTACCATTGATCTTCTGGGCCAAAAGAAATGTGAGCTAATACCATGAGAAACCATCACCACAAGTACAATTACATTAGGCCAGGCTCATTTATTTTACCTGTTTGTTTAAAGTAAGGTAAAAAAAAAAAAAAGGGTGATTAGGTGTCTTTAGGATAAAGGTGATTAGGAATGGCTGGTGATTGTGTCTTATTTGTGCTGCTGTAGGTACCTGTTGCCCATCGTGACATAAAGAGCAGCAATGTTGTGGTAAAGAACAGAAAGGAGTGCGCCCTGTGTGACTTTGGTCTTGCTTTGCGGCTTGATCTCTCCCTAACAGTAGATGACTATGCCAACAGTGGACAGGTAAGTGTGCAGATTAGGATGTTTTTTGTGGTAAATTGTGACTCAAAACAGCGCATCCCCTGTATGCTACTTATTTTATCAAAGATTCTGAAGGTCAAATTAAAACTACTTGATCTACTGATGTGATTATTGTGCCTTTCTTGTCACACTGTCTTGTGGTAACTTTGCTAATCCTTTAAACCACTCATGACTGATGCTCTGCAAATAATTGGCCAAAGTGTACATTTCTTTTATATATTCAAAAAAGTTCTAGTAGCTCTGAAATAGTAAGCCCCATTCTTATTTCAATATCAAGGCCAGAAGAGCCACACCCTGCAGTGCCAACCACAGATGTTTTATTACTCATGCTAACTCTTAAAGAGCCTCAGGTGTTACATCTGCACTTGGATGTTTCCTTACATTCTGTAAAATTTACCCTATTGAACATTTTATGTAATTCAATGTCTAGTTTCGGTCTGAAAAATAGATTTGAGCTTCGAAATACAATGTTAAAGCCTCACAACTTCTCCTGACATCAGACCAATAATATGCACAATTTGGAGCTGTGTGTTCTTCTTCCCAGATGGAAGATTGATACCAAAGCTTCTCTGCAAAATACCCGATCATGGCAATGTACTTATTAGTTTGGAGATAGTTAATAGGTTGTTGCAGGTGCTTCATCAGATCAATTTGGTTGACGGAGAGCAGCATCAGTACCAACACTGTTACAAGAAATTTCTTGGAGAACTGTAAGCTAAGTGTGGTCATAAGCGTGTGGACATGGGTATCCACTTTTCAAATTCTCTTATAACAAAGCCTCGCAGAGTGTGTGAGTTCTATGCTACATAATGATTTAGCTAAAGCTTGTTACCAAGTACCTCTACTGTTGCACCTTAAATGCTCCCTCAACGACGAAGAGCCAAATCACACCAAATACGTTTTATGCATACTTGATACAATTAGGTAACTCCCATAATTCTTTTTATTTAGGTAGGAACAGCACGATACATGGCCCCTGAGGTACTCGAGTCCAGAGTGAACCTGGAGGACCTCGAGGCCTTTAAACAGATGGATGTGTACTCCATGGCTATGGTCCTTTGGGAGATGGCTTCTCGGTGTGAGGTCATTGGAGGTAGGTGAATACCTACAGTGCATTCCGGTTTATCAGAGACACAGATGCATGATGTGAATTTTTAGAGAGAGGATATTTTAGTTCTTTATGTCAAAGTTCAGTAAGAGACCAGAAAATTTAAACAGGCATCACTAATCAACACCTGGTTATAATCAACTCCAGTCCTCAAAGATGCCTGCTTAGATTTATAACTTTTAGAACTATAAACATACAATGGAACATTTATTATTACTTTGCTCCAATGTCACCTTGATAGATATTTGGACACAGACTTTCACGTTGTCATAATCTGCACTGCTCACTAAGAGAAATTTAGCTAAAATATTAAGAGAAATGTGCATGAAGAATTTTTATGAAATATTTTGTTAATAGTAATATATTTTCATATCTTCCTAGTTTCTAAGAATATGGTGCCTTCCAAAAAAGTTAAACAACATTCCACTGGACTTTGTTTCCAAGTTTGAAGACATTTCTCCTCCCATCCAGGAAGCCTTTTGAATTCAAAATGTCAGAAATAGTGTTAAATAGAGTTTTAGGCTTAATAGAGTGGACCAAAAACAAAGCCTTGTTTTGGCTTAGAAAACATGCAAATTCTCTATAAAGAGGCTTTAAAAAGCACTGAACTTTACACTATATCTGAAATTTTGTATTGAAAAAGCTTCATTGGTGGGAAGCGAAACATCTTCCAACTTGGAAACGAAGTCCAGTCGATTTTTAAAAAACTTTTTTGGAATAACTATGACCTGGATAACAGAGTATCTTCACCAGTACATATGGTGCCTTTAGCAAAGAGAAGAATATTTATTATTTTACATTTCTAATTAGAGCATCTTTATGCCTAGTTTTATTGTAAACATTCCTACATTTTCTCTGCAGCACCAACTGTGTCATATTTAAATGCAGATAGAGACACATAAGGGACAGACCCTATGTAAGAATGCATTTGATGCACAGCAAAGTCTGAAGTCAATTAAATGTGTAGATTCTATAGGATTAGTTTAGTTAAAACTCTAGATTCAGTTTATGAAAAACTTGATTTAACCATCAATAAGGTGGAAATTGAGGAGTCGCATATTAATATATATATACATATAAATATATATGAAAACTTAAAGAATAAATAAATGTGTAAATAAATTAATAAATGAATTAAGACATTGATGAATTATATATAAATGATAGATAGATAGATAGATAGATAGATAGATAGATAGATAGATAGATAGATAGATAGATAGATAGATAGATAGATAGATAGATAGATAGATAGATAGATAGATAGATAGATAGATAGATAGATAGATAGATAGATAGATAGATAGATAGATAGATAGATAGATAGATAGATAGATAGATAGATCATCCTACAACATGAATTTTAAGGTGGGGATTGTTCATGCAGGTCAGACCCGATTTCGATATGTAAAGTTCTCGTAACACAAGCATCTTCAAAACCATTTGTAATTCTGCAGCGGTGAAGAGCTATGAGCCAGCATTCGGCTCCAAACTTTGTGAGCAGCCGTCTGTGGACAGCATGAGAGACCTGGTTCTGAGGGATCGAGGACGGCCTGACATCCCCCCAATGTGGACACAGCACCAGGTCTGATACAAACTGAAACCCATAGCAGAATTTTGGAGAAACATGGCATCGCTGTCAGACTCCCACATAGACTGCAATTATTGCTAAGCAACAATTTTTTTCTGCCAGATTTTAAAATTATTTAAGTGATTTAATACATACTATTGAAAGTGTTTCATCACAGCGAGCTTTTCCATGAAAGAATCAGGAAGAGCAAAGCCCGTCTTTTAAATCAGACAAATTTTTTATATATGTAGTAAGTTATTGTCTCTATCTGAAAACTTCAAAACAACTTCATGTAATTGGACTGCAACTGTTTTTATTTGGTAAATTCAGCAATAACTTCTTATAACTATATTAAAAGATAAATAAATCAAGAGACACTCAATAACCTAAAATAGGCTTTTGTCAGATTGGGTGGAGGTTTGAAGAGGACCCAAATGCAGAGACTGTAGCTAAAGTGGTTTCTTGCAGATTTAATAACAAAAAGGGAAACAGAAGCAAAAATTCACAAACATAATCCACAAACCTAAAAACACTGAAATAAAGGAATACTCACAAGGGAGCAAAGAAATGACGACAAACCAGCAACACTGACTGAGCAGGAGGTGCATATATGGGAGAGAGAAACAAAGACGAGGCTAATCAGCCGATTTGGAGCAGGTGTGAACAGAGGAGTCTAGAAGGGAGCTAAGGAAAAGGAAACTGAAACAAGAGGGCAACAGAACACAAACAAGAAATACCTAAGAGCTCAAATAAAAGCAAATATAAGTAGAATGACACAAAATGGAAATAAAACCAATGAAAACTCAAATAAAAAACTTAAACAGAACCAAACCCATGACACTTTTACTTCAGAAATAGACAACCAACCAAAGAAATCGCAACTGACCTCAGAGACTGTGATAAATGAATGTTTTAAATTATTCCAACAGAGACCAGATCCCTAGAGTAACACAACTGAACTTGAAATAGACCTAAAAGGTTGACATAGAAAATAATAAACATAGAAAACATAGACTAACCTCAAAGTGAGTCATGGGATACATCAATTAATATGGACAGTGACTCCCCACTGGAAGAAATGCCCCCCAAGACACCAAAACCCACAAAAATATGAAGATAATAAGAACCATACAAGGAAAGTATAAAAACATTTCACAAAGAAAGTACATAGTGAACAAATAAAGCAAAATGATGTCTGAAATACTGGTCCATCTCAGGAGGACAAACATAAAGAGAAAGCTGTTTTTTCTATTGTTTGACTCCGGAGTAAAACCCAAGATGTATCGTATCGGTGATTTACTCACTGCATTCAGCCTGTTTAGTGCCTCTGATGCCTAACTCTAATTTTTGTGCTTTGTGCTTTAGGGCATGAATGTATTCTGCTCCACCATCACAGAGTGCTGGGATCACGACCCAGAGGCCAGATTAACCGTCCACTGTGTGGTGGAACGCCTTAACATCCTGCAGCAGGGTGAGGAGTGGTGAGGATAATCCTCATCCCCCTTCCTGGGATCTGGCTTCATAAGGAAAATGAAAATTGACATTTTAAAAGCATCCAGCGAAGAGCTGCTGAGTAACCAAAGTTTTTCAAATACAAATGACTGAATGGAAAGTTATTGGTCATATTCCTGACTTGTCTTTAAAACATAGAGATTTTTGGAATCAACAACTTAGTTCTAACCAACAATATATTTTTTCTTCTTTTTGCTTATTTTGACTTCCTGTTTTCTGCTGCTTTGTTATGCATTATAAGGGAAGCCACTAAGGTTTGTAGAAGTGGGATGACATCAGGAAAACGTCCCTGGAGAAACATCAGAATGTCACTGTGGAGATGTTCCTCATAACCCCACATATTTCTATTGAGATACTTTGGGATTTCTGGTCTTCATCAACTTCTTGAACAGAACCTGAATATCAAAAGTGAAGCTTCATGGGTTGAACTAAAAAGCCACCACAGTTTTATGACCAAAAATCAATTTCAGAACTCTACCCTCATTGCTTTGCCTTTTGATTGTGTCAGAAGATACAGCCTCCTAGGTAAGTAAAGCCTGGTTAAGGCATTAGCCTTACAAATGTGAGATGCCACCAGAAAGTATTCACACCCCTCCACCAATTCCATGTTCTATGTCACAGATTTAGTTTTAAATTAACAATTTTTGAAACAACATTTTTTAAACCTGGCTACTCAACGTCCCATAATGAGAAGCAAAAACATGCATAGATGCTTCCAACATGAACCAATCCAGTGTTTTTGATGGGACCCCAACCAGTTACACACATTTTTGAGTTTGGGGCTTTCTAACCCAGCTTTTGGCTCAGTAATAAGTATTTGCTGTTTCTCCTTTAACTAGTTACAGCCTTGCTTTATGAATATGCTCTCTGTAAATATGAGTGCAGCTACTCTCAGTCAATGGAAAGACTGTGGTAATAAAGAGTCAATTTGTCTTTTATTTGTGACGGCAAAAAACCACCATTGATCTGCTGGCAGATGCATACAGATGGTTTGTTGTGTGAAACTGTTCATCTATGTGGAGCTGGTCTCCATTTATTCCTAGAATAATTGATGGGGGCTGATTGTAACGGCAATAGCCTAAATGTTGGAGCAAAAAGGAGAACCAACTCCTTCCTGATCCATTGAACTCTCTTTCTCAATTGATTATTGGCATTTTTTCCATTTTATCGTCTAAATGTGTTATTCTTCACTGTCATTTGTCTTTATGGGTTATAAGAATAGCAGGGTATTAGAAAGTTATTATAAAGTGTGATAATAAAAGAAACTGCATTAGTCTTTTTGAGCTAATCTTCTCTTTGGTTTGTTTTGTCTGCTTGACAAAGTTTTTCTATCTGATTATTGTGTTTAAAGCCTTTTTCATCATGCATTTTGTAAAAAAAATTAAATAAAATCCTTCCTTTAAGCAAGCAGACAACCGTTTTTTCAAACGTTTATTTATGAATATTTCACCTTTAGGAGCTCAGTGAATTCCAGTTTGCTATCATGACAGGATGTGATCTGTACCAAAAAATTCCAGTTGTAGAGGTTTCTTAATATCCAGCTGTTATTGGTATGAGAACAATATTGACGCCAATGTGAACAGGAGTGGATAAGCCAGTGATTTGCAGTGTAAAGTTTAAGAGCAAGGCGAGTGGAGGATGTGAGCAGAGTTCTGCAGACAATCAGATTAGTCCAAACACAGTATATAGAGAGGTCCATAGGGTTTCTTCGGCTTAAGGAATTGCATTCCAGGCTCACATCCCAGAGTACATCTTAACAGAGGCGTAGCCAGAAAATTTTTTTATAAGGGTGGCCAGGCAATAACCAATGTAGACTGAGGGGTGGCTGAAAGTGCATAGGCGCTAGTACCTCAGGGTCAATCTACACTGTTCCAACAGGAAAGTGAACAAGCAAAACATTCATATTTTCTAAATAAAGACAAACTATATTGTCCTACAGCCTTTCCTAACAAGTAGATGCATATATTTAAACATCAGTTCTATCTAAATAAAAGATATCGTGGATAACATTCTTTCAGTTTTGAGATCTGGGGCGTAAATCTTTTCCATCGTCATAACTTACCTACTTGTATCAATAAACATCCTGCTTAAAATTGATATTTACAAGCACTAATATCTACATACATTGATTATTTGATAAGTGTTTATTAAAATAGTTTTTTTAATCTATGATTTTACTGAATGTTTTGAATATTCCACTTAAGATGATTACTGCGGCCACCATCTGTATTAGAGGTGGCCAATGATTGGGTAAGGGTGGCCATGGCCACCCCTGGCCCCCCATCTAGCTCTGCCCCTGCATCCTAAAGCAGTGTGAAGCCATATGCCACTGGTTTTTAGGTGGCTTTAGAGGTTTACTTAAGAGTTCTAGTCAAATGACCATTTAATGCTTCAATTTAATGCTTTGATCCATTTATGTCTCATAATTGTTGGAATAGATTAGTAATAACTCCTTCCTCTTCCATCCTGACAACACACCACTTAACAATGGAAGGTCTGGAAAAGTGTGGAGGGACCTAATTGGCCATTGTTTCAATTTCAACAACATATATAGTCTCTTCTAAATGGCTTTTAGCCAAATTATACACTTATTATTTGTAGAACTAATATTTTTTGTTATAATAAAACACTATTTTTATCAACTACTAAGCATAAATGCCAAAGGTTTATTAAATTAATCATTTTCACACTAGAGCTATGGAGTGGGTGAACTTAAAAAGCCTGGGGGGCAAAAATGAATACAAAGAAGAAATGGAAATAAGTTAGCTATAGGTCAACCTGCCCTTGACCCAGTTCATTTACACAATCTAAACCTAATTAACGTATTTTTTGCTAGTTTCATCCCTTTCATACATATAAACTATGTTTTATAAATATATTTTTGTTGGGGCTTCGTATTGTAAAAGGTACAGTTGTTTCTGAGTCCATGCTGAGGGTTTATGCTGGATCATCTGCAGAGTCTGAACTGGTAGATGTTCTTCAGGGCAGTGGAGTCCTGCAGTCTGCATCTCTCATCTTAGGCTACATGCTTTACAGATGGAGCTTAATCAGCTATAAGGTGTTGAGTGTCCACATGAGGTCATTGCTGATGTGGACACCAAGATACTTACACTGTGCCTACGGAGAGTGTTTGGTATCATGAACTGAAAGCTTTACTATACCCTATACTAAATGTAAGTAATGATATTTAATCCATTGCTGCATAGGGGTTACTACTGTGGATCACTTCTAAAAATTGTTTACTGCTATAACAGTTTTAATAGGGTATACAAAACCCTTTCAAAATATCAGGTTTTTGTGATCAAAAACTGACATTCGAATAACCCTTCAAAACTTTTCCTCTACACATTTTAATCAAAGAACAAACTTATTTAGAGGGTTAAAAATGATTGTTGAAAAAAGGGTCATTTTTAAAGGTTTGGTGAGAAAATATCACAAAGAAAGGATATGGTATGATGGTAAACTAAAAGGAAGACTTGATAGTAAAACTGATTTTTAAAATTACAATAATCTGGCTTGTTTCAAATTGCTTTGTGCACATTAAAAGCCATTCAAGTCTGTTCATTGGAATACTGTAAGGCTCCATATACTGCCACCTACTGACTCACGAGTGTAAGTTCATAAAAACAATCTGACTGAAAACATCTACTGCAGTCCTGAATATAGGAAAATGGGGAAAAAATGTTTGTTAGAATTTCAAAGTCAAATTATGTGAGTGACTTAACTGAATTGCATGACTGACTGGTCTGCAGGTAATAGTCGGATAGCGGTGATGAATTAATGACACTGTCCATAAATGTCAGTGGGGTTAAGGATGTTAAAATACAAAAAAAAATCTTAGTTTGTTTTTAGCTGAATAAAATACATGGGGACCCAGTCTGCAAAGTCAAGTTTAAATGGCTGAATGGGGGAGTGCAGGAGATCATGTAGAAAACCAGCCTGACCAATCAGGGACACGGATGATATTTTTATTTTCCATCCCGTCAAAAATAAAGAATCCCCAATGGGGACATTGGGAATTCTTTATTCTCTCTTCTAGGGTAAATATTACAAAGGCAAATAAATAAAGAAGCTAATTAAGAGTTATATACATTTATGTCTCACTTTTTTGTTGGCAATTAATTGTATGCTTATACATTTATTGAGCATTTATTTATTTCTGTATTTATTTTTAAATATGGCAGAGTTGGTCCTTCATATACATCAGAATAATGCACAGTTAAAGACATACATACTCAAAATCTATCATCCCGAGTAAACGGGTAAAAAGTATTTAGAACATTCTCAGAGAACGAGGAGGTCTGCTATATTATTTTCTGAAAGTCGAGAAAAAGGCATACAAATCTGAACGAGGTAATCCTAATTCATCCATGTGGGTTTTTTTCTAATTGTGTGCCACTTAATGCATAAAAAAATGTTTGCGCTCCTAACACATCACGGCTATAGACGATCTATGCAGCATTAATTAAAGCCTGTGGAACTTCCGATGTAATAACGTTTTATAACCGAGTGATACATCTTGTGTATACACGGTCTTCGGAGCCGGTGCTCCTCTCAGCTGACAGGGAGAAACAAACCAGAAGCCGCTGCTGCTGTTAAAGTCTTTAACCAGCCCGCGTTACAACCTTAAATATCGCCTAAAGATCGACGGTTAATGCAGGATGGTATCGTGTTCAGGTTCAGCTCGCAAGCGATGAATGAAACGAGCGCCGAGGGGAGCGGACGGAGACCGGCGGAGGTTGTGTTAGCTTCGGGCTTCTCAGCCCTGCTTCTCGGGCTCATCAGAGGATGGAGCGCTGGTTGAGAGGGGATGGCAAGCCGTCCGTGTCCCGGTGTCTCCTCTCTGCTTTCTTCCTGCTCCTCGCGGTGCAGGCGGGCTGCCACGGTACCTGCAGACACTCAGCCCCCTCCCGCAGTGAGGTGAGCCCCGGCTGAGGATGCTAACCTGTTAGCTGCGTAAGCAACTCAGCAGTCCTATGGCACAATAAGTTATTTTATAGGACGCAGAACACAAATTACAGAGTAAATGTGCTTTTTGAAAAGTCACTTAATTGGAAACTTTCGTTTCTTTTCATCCTTTCTAAATGTGCTAAAAGGCTATGAAGCTAACATGAAGCTAATTGGTTTATCCGCTTAATTTATAATATAATTTATGTTTGTTTACCTAATTGCAGCAGGTAATTAAACACAATTTCATAACACTGAATATTAAATTTTATCCCAGCTTCTCCTAGCAACAGCGAAAAAAGTACGTCCGGGTTGAACTTTTCAAAATAAAAGCTGAATAAATAAGCCCTATCTATCTATCTATCTATGGAAACTTCAAAATAAAAGCACTACTGCTTGGTAGTTGAACATTGGAATGAAAGTTAGATGTAAAACAGCTAAGAAACAAAGATAAATGGAGATTATTGGTTTTGTAGACTCACTGCTCCTCTCCCATTACCAGCCCCCCACATATTGATAATTAGACAACATAATGACTCACTGCTTACTTTTTTTTCTGTTCTTAGGTTGTCCATCAAGTGTACTTGCGGCCTGAGCGGCTAACTAAGAGAAGTTCTCCTGACGATCTGCAGCTGAAGATAAAGATCATCTACGACAGCAGCGTAGATCAGTAAGTACAGCATCGGTTCATCAGATTTAGACATTAACTTTGTGCTTTGCAAATGTAGTTATACATCTTGAAGTTGTTTTTATATGACAATCACAACATTTTTTTCTTAAGAGTCAATATTTATAAATAATTGGTAATAAGGGGTGTGCATTCATGTTTACGTTCTAGAAAATGTTATTGAGAAATGGATAATAGGCTCCTGCATTGGTGAGGATTTGTTTTTTAACATCTTCTATGTGGTTTAATTTGATTATGTTGGGGTGATTAAAAACATCACAAAACATAACTTTTTTGCAAGGAACATCTAATCTCTGTTTATGTGGCATGTCTAGCATTTCATTTTTCAGCCCATGGTGTAACACAGGTGAGTCCTCAGCAGGTTTAATAAAAGGCTGGCTATCAATCATTGGTGTCTTTAGACAAAGTTGAGCTTTTTAAAGTCCAACATTATTAATTCCTTCTTCTCCATTTTGGTATCATGTTGGTGGAGATACATATTTTGAAAGTCTAAATCAGGGGTCTTCAATGTTTTCCAGGCCAAGGACCCCCAAACTGATGGCGGGATGGAGCGGGGACCCCCTAATTATTTATATTTTATGTAATTGTGTTCTATCAAACTGGTCCTATAGTCACTCTACAGATGGAGTAATGTAACTAAAGTAATTTCTCCCTGGGATTATTAAAGTATGTCTGATTCCTGGCTGATGGGACAGGTGTTCTGAATGAAACGGTGCCCAGCTTTAAAGAGCTACTGTGTGTCGCTGAATGTGTGCATTGATGACTGAAAGACATCTTCTGCCTCCATTTATCTGTTTACTAGTCTGTTGAATTCATGTTAATGTGGATTTAAAGGCATTTCAATTAGCGGAAAAAATGCAGTGGGGAATAGAAAAGAAATTCTAATCAACCAAAACTTTTGCGACCTCCATGCAGTACCTTTGTTGACTCCCTAGGGGTTGCGGACCCCCTGTTGAAGACCTCCGGTCCAAATAACCAAAATAACTCCACAAAATCAGGGCTTCTGAGGATAACTGCTTGTATTTCTTTTTTCTAAGGGAATGGGTTCAGAAGCCATGACCCTTCATATCTATATTTATTTAGGCCTTTAAGTTTGGTTTTAAATATAATAGCTAAAGTTGATACGCAAATGGTTTGATGATGATCTTATCTGTTCTTCTGTTATCTGAAAGCAAAAATACACCAATGATGGCTAAAGACAGCATGCACTATACATTTATTATTATTAATATTATTGTTATTATTATTATTAATTAATAAGAAAGTGATTAAAATTGCTTCATTCTGATAAAGTAGGTCAACTTTCATTATATCAAACCTTTTACCGATTAAAAACCAAGAATTTGCCTATTTAACCACAAGCATTCTATTCAGGGATTTAGGTATATTTTCTTTTCTCTTTGCTGTTAAAGACTGAGATGGTTATTTTGTTTAAAAAGAAAATCTGCTTCTCTTTTATTGAACTGAAATAAATATTTTCTTGCTCAACATTTAATTAGAGCATGTGTAGTTTTTGGTGGTTTTGAAGCGTTTTTGTAACAAAAAGCAGAAAAATTGTCGCTTTAGACGGTAGAGGTGGCCGACTCCTGATGTCAGAGTATACTGAATAAATGTCACCCATATCACACTTTTATATGAAAAAATTAAATGAAACAATTTAATATTGAAATCCATGTATGTTGCCTTTTTTTGTTGTTAAATCACATAAGATTCCATGAAGTTATGCTGATATTAGGCTGTGCAGCAGCAGAGCAGAGCCTCATGCATAGAGACATGGCCATTTGGAGTTTAATTTCTGTCCCTCTGACCTTTTCTACATGTCTTCCCTCCTGCTCTTTCTTCTCATCTCCCACTGTTTACTATCAATAAACCTTACTACTACTATCAAGTCTCAAAAAGTAAAAAATAAATCAGTTTGCGACTAATACATAATGCTAAATTCAGAATATATTAATAGTTTTGCAAGGCACCTTACAGGTGAACACAACCACCTAGTTCATCAGCAGAAGACAAAGATCCCTGAACTTCCATGAGGCCGATTTAAGATTAGATTTAGATTGCAGTTTGAACTGCTCGCATAAACCAAATGAAAGAGATTTTCCTGTCCGTTAACCTACTTCTCTCTGTCTTTACAGACTTACTGCTGACAAACGAAGGCTGGTGAAGGTGTGTTTCTATACTCATATATACTGAACAATATGGGGGGGGGGGGGGGGGGGGGGGTTTGCTATGGAGTGAACTTTGTTAAATTATTTGTGAAAGAAAAATTGTAAAAGAAAAAAAAAAGCAGACTAGAAATGTTATTCTTTCAAATTAGTTTATTTTTTAAAACCATTAGGACTTATTTTAATGGATTGCTCTTCAAATTGCATTTTCCAGATCACATTCTCTTCACCTCTTTCTTCTGGAGTGAAGAGCAAAGAAGCATTTCTAATGCTTTGCATGACTGTTTGCCGAGATATCTTATATTCGTCAACATAATAGTAAATTTCTCCACAGTGAGATCAATAAAGTCAGTCAATGTGTGCATTAAAAGCGTGTGTTATTATTTGGCTCTGCTGGTCACTGCGATTCAAGTCTTTCCCCTGTCTAGTCTAAAAAATTGGCCCCGAGGGTGTAAATAGTTCTTGGTATGAAAAAAACATCAGATCTCTAAGTCACAGTTGCTCCTTTTAATCCTTTGAACAAACACCAGCATGGTTTCATCTTGGCCTGATAATATGATCCAGAGTCAGATGAGGTGTTACTGCTATATTTGGATGGAAAATTGTCCACCAGCAGTGACTTTTAGATGGTTATAACCATCCAGCATTGTTATCAACATAATGACCCTTCGAACTCTTTGGGTATTTGATTTTTTTTCTTTTTTCTGGGCAGTTTTTATTTTTTTGCTCTATTTTGTTTGGCTCCTGGATAGATGATAAAGTAGCTTCTGCACAAGCTAATAGATATTTTTCTGGACTGTATGATGTAACTAACTACAAATGCCTGTAAATCAGAAGAACAAGGATAGCCTCAGTCAGCCTCATGTTTTTACTGTGCGTGTCTCACCAGGACAAGCTGTTTCCTCAGGCCATTGACTACCTTCAGAGGGCTTTCAGCGTGAGGCGCAGGGTGGGACCCGTGCTGCTCAGCAGGTCTGTCCCCACCTCCAGCTACCAGCTTGATTATTTAAACAACATTCATATTCTTTAGATAGATGAACAGGGGGAAAAAAACACTGTTTTCTTCAGAACATTTGGAAATACATGGGAATTCCAATAATGCTGTGCCATTTGATGAGCCTCTGCCTGTCTGCTGCTAATCTCCTCTCAGGCAATGTGCAACCAACCAGTATATGAGGAAGAGAGGTGACCCCCATCGATACTGCCAGGATGCCTGCGCAGACGTCACCCGCTGTGGTCCTGTCGTCGTACCACAGCACCACCTGCAGGTCAGAAACTACGGCCTGATGTCCCATGTCCTTCTCTGGGCTTTTCATCTAGAGCTAAATAATGATGTCAAACGTTGTGCTAATAATTATCTAGTCATTTAGTTCCTCCTGGTAATTCTTTTGGTTATTAAGGAAAAAAATATTTCAAAGCCACCATTAGATCTTAATGCAACTTATCTTAGTTCCAGTTAGAGACGAGCTACTTAACTAATGGGATAAGAGGGCTTACTTCTCCTAATCGGAAAATCCCCGGTTAGCCGACGGAAAAGACCTTTTCCATTCATTTGCTATATCAGGCTTTTTTTTTACCTGTCTGTCATTGACAGCTGCAGAAAGGGTCATTAACTGTATTTTAGGTTGTTTGACCAATCATGGATGATCTTAAAATGTTATGAGAATAATTAGTGGTACTTTGAGTGTAAACAATACAAGAGGACTTTTCATAAAAAGAGGATAGTCTGATATGCTGTCAGACTATTTAACACTTTATTTCACTGAAGTGGATGCTAAAGGGCTGGTTATCCTCCTGCAGCAGTGTGTCGCTGTGAGCTTGTCACTGATATTTTTGATTTATGCCCAATATTGAAGCGTGGTCTGCGCTATGTTGTTCCACGCCACTATGCAAGAGGGACAATCAGGAACTAGCTGTGGGTATACACTCACCGGCCACTTTATTAGGTACCCCATGCTAGTAACGGGTTGGACCCCCTTTTGCCTTTAGAACTGCCTCAATTCTTCGTGGCATGGATTCAACAAGGTGCTGGAAGCATTCCTCAGGGAGTTTGGTCCATATTGACATGATGGCATCACACAGTTGCCGCAGATTTGTCGGCTGCACATCCATGATGCGAATCTCCCGTTCCACCACATCCCAAAAATGCTCTATTGGATTGAGATCTGGTGACTATGGAGGCCTTTTGAGTACAGTGAACCTATTGTCATGTTCAAGAAACCAGTCTGAGATGATTCCAGCTTTATGACATGGCGCATTATCCTGCTGAAAGTAGCCATCAGAAGTTGGGTACATTGTGGTCATGAAGGGATGGACATGGTCAGCAACAATACTCAGGTAGGCTGTGGCGTTGCAACGATGCTCAATTGGTACCAAGGAGTCCAAAGAGTGCCAAGAAAATATTCCCCACACCATGACACCACCACCACCAGCCTGAACCGTTGATACAAGGCAGGATGGATCCATGCTTTCATGTTGTAGACGCCAAATTCTGACCCTACTATCCGAATGTCGCAGCAGAAATCGAGACTCATCAGACCAGGCAACGTTTTTCCAATCTTCTATTGTCCAATTTCGATGAGCTTGTGCAAATTGTAGCCTCAGTTTCCTGTTCTTAGCTGAAAGGAGTGGCACCCGGTGTGGTCTTCTGCTGCTGTAGCCCATCTGCCTCAAAGTTCGACGTACTGTACATTCAGAGATGCTCTTCTGCCCACCTTGGTTGTAACGGGTGGTTATTTGAGTCACTGTTGCCCTTCTATCAGCTCGAACCAGTCTGGCCATTCTCCTCTGACCTCTGGCATCAACAAGGCATTTCCGCCCACAGAACCGCCGCTCACTGGATGTTTTTTCTTTTTCGGACCATTCTCTGTAAACCTTAGAGATGGTTGTGCATGAAGTTCCCAGTAGATCAGCAGTTTCTGAAATACTCAGACCAGCCCTTCTGGCACCAACAATCATGCCACGTTCAAAGTCACTCAAATCACCTTTCTTCCCCATACTGATGCTCGGTTTGAACTGCAGGAGATTGTCTTGACCATGTCTACATGCCTAAATGCACTGAGTTGCCGCCATGTGATTGGCTGCTTAGAAATTAAGTGTTATCGAGCAGTTGGACAGGTGTACCTAATAAAGTGGCCGGTAAGTGTAGATACGGCTGAGGTGGTGAGGAAGTGGGGGCAAGTTTGTGCAACAACGGAGGGACATAAGGGGTGAAAAAGAGCGGAGACCAAGGTGGAAAAAGGGTCCTAGCATTCTCGTGCACCTTGCTCTTCTAGCTGGTCCATCATCATGAGTCATTTTCCACAATGGCGTCATACAAACAAAAAAAGCCAGTAATTTACCAACCAGGAAATATGCATAGTGTAGAGGCCTCCTGTCTGCGGTACTGTCTGTAGTCACATTTTTGGAGAGCACCAGAGTGTCTGCGGAAGGGGCGGGGTCACATTTGTGTTCAATGCGACACACGCAGGTTACCTGGTTTCTGAGTATAAATCAGCCTTAACTGTGATATAGCTCTCTGTTTTTAGTGTAATCCAGTAATCAGTGCTGAAAGGGACTTAGTGCTTCTAGAAGCGTCTTTAAACAGGTGGTTCTGGTTGCTCTCAGGGGAATATTAAAACTCGTCACTGTGAAGCGTGCTAAATCACAAAAGCCTTCTCCAACTACCGAACCAGTTGCAAGCACGTCTCCGTCTCATCATATTACAAACGTTTTACATAACGCTGTTAGCTTTCCAGTCATCAGATCCTCACCTTCAGAGCGAGACAGAGAAGTTGCGCTGCTCCACCATGATGCACAGTTAAATGAGCGCTGGTTAGCTGGTAACATAACGAGTTGATCCACAAGCAGGCAAAACCACATAAAGTTCATTCTGTAACCTTGGCGCCATTAAATTGTGTAAGTAATCACATACTGGACTCTGAATGCATCTGTCTTTGCTCTGGCATTACTTCTCTTACAAATACCAGTAATGGTGCGTTCACACGGAAAAGTGTTCAAAAGTGCTTAGAAACCAAAATTTTGACGCTGGATCAAACGCTGACCAACTTGCTTTGATGCTTCAATGCTCTGTGATCTGGTTGTTTTTCTGCTCTGTTGTGTAATTATTAGCTAGATAGCAGCTTGGCTTTATTTACTTTATGAGTTGGAAAACTGAGTTTTAACAGAAAGTAGACCTCAAAACGTCTTCTGTGCAGTCACTTCATCAGGATTATGATCCTACTAAAATATGCAGTTCTTGTTCGCAGTGCCAGACATCAAGCAAACCGCCGGCCAGCAGTGCTGGGAATTTGCTGAAAGCTTTCTGTTGTAAGAGTTTTTAAGGTTTGTTGTAAACACAGCAAGTACCAGAATATACTATTGAATATACTCGTTGGCAGGTGTTAACATGTTTAGTTAATTTGGGTAATTTTGCGGCAACGGTCAAAGTTGAGCTTTTGGATGCTTGGACACTCGTTTGCGCCACTCCCGATGCTAGGATGCACAATTGGACCTCTCAACGCCGCCCCCTGTAGACTTTGCATGTGAATCAGATGCTTTGACGCCCAAAAGTGGTTCGGTTCATTTGGTGTGAATGCTCCATAAGGCTCTGCTTAAGAATGAGTGGTGCCCTCTACTGGATGGTGGCAACACTACAACACTGAAATGAATTTCTTTTAAGCTGACATTATTGGCTAATCCATCAGAACAAGTTTTAATCTAATAAACCATTTATTAATAATTAACTGTAAGTCGATTTTTTGTTTACATCCCCGTTATTAACTCAACTGAACTCTATCACGGGTTCAGCAGTGCTGGTTAACATATGTAAAAAAAATAATTTTAAAAGAAGTAAAAAACCTCTGGAAGAATCTTATCTTTGCAATGAAGAATTTGTATCCATATTGTGGAAAGTCTGTTTGAAAACAAATTTGTTTGTTTTGTCAAATTGCTGGATCCCACAGCCTTACTGAATCTCCACCCTGCTTAGTAGAAGGAATGAGGGGCTTCTACCACATATTAATTCCTTGTTACATTTCTTTCTCAGCAATGTAAGGTGTGCAGTGAGTCTGGAAAGTCGTGCGGCCCAACGGGAGCCCCGGATGGGCCCGGGGTGGACGGATCAGACTTCGTTCTCTATGTCAGCGGCATCACCACAGAGCGCTGCGGACAGGAGAACATAGTGGCCTACGCTGCCTACTGCCAGCTGGAGGCAGAGCTGGACAGGTGAGGGGGAAACTCAGAGCAGTAAATGGTAACATCAGTCCAGGAGTAAAGAAACATCTAAATGTTGTGATTCAGAACAGACGACTCAGTATTCAGGCAGGATAGGCAGTGGGATTACTCAAAAAGCGTTTATTATGAAACTGATGGACTGCAGATCTACAGTAACAGTTGCTAGGGTGTCTGAGGAAGAAAACTCTGGAGAGAGGAAACACAGGTTAGTGACCAAGTAAATCTAACAGAGGAAGATTATGAATGCGAGTCACTAACCTGGTTTACAAGTTCAGTCCATAATCACAGCCAGGTCAGGCAAACAGATCAGAACAGGAACAGGAAAGCTCAGTGGTTAAGAGGCAAAACAAGGTCAGGTAATCAGAACCACTAAGGGATGCTAAAAACACTCTCACCACTATCTGGAGAGAACAAGAATTATCTGGCCTTTATGACTGGATGCAAGCAGCTTTAATAGAGGCAGGAGCTGGTGGATCAGATGAGCGGTGATTAGAAACCATGCAGAGTTAGACAGGTGAATGAAAATTAAGCCAGTCATTAGCACCAAGATCATGACACTAAGTGTTACTATGTGTGTGTGTGTTTTAGGCCTATAGCAGGTTATGCCAACCTGTGTCCTGCCATGATCTCCTCTCAGCCTCAGGAGTTTGAAGGGATGCTCTCCACTGTCAAACATGAGATCATCCATGCTCTGGTAAGAATAGTTTATCCTTCGGGGATTGACCACCTGACTTTGATAGATGTACGCGCTGTTTCTTACTTAACAAGAATACTAGTATGGACTTGTGTTCTCGCCAAATACGTTCTTGACAAGAACACAGGAAAGTATGGACTCGGGGAGACCGGGGCACACAGAATAAATCTTGGTGAATCGGAACAGAAGGGTACTCGTGACGTCACCACATGCTCGGCTCGTCTGGAGCTGCGTTTCACCTCCTGTTATTAATAGCTTATTAATTACTTTTTTCATCTAGTGGGAGAATAATAATTTAACACATTAATTAACACAAATCAAATTAACTTTTTAGTTAATTAAAAAGAAAACACCTTCAAAGCAAATAGTACTTCACACACCGCTATGCTGAGTGAGGGCTGCTGCAGACAGGCTAACGTTAGCCTCGGTTAGCACCGGTTGCTCTCAAAAGACCAGCTATGTTTAATTTATTGCTTATTAAATTAGTAAATGGGCCAACAGTGAAGCTTAAAGGTATAATTTTCTCGCCTCAAATAATCTTAAAATGTAACTTTGTAGAACCACAGCAACGGAATAGTGAACTTTTAACTTAATACTTAGGTCTGTTAGTGCTCCCCTGTAGCTGCTGCTGACGTGGTGCATGCTGGGACATTTGTCAGTCCTGAGAAAGCACAGTGCTGCTCTGATGCTTGCTGGGTAAAGAGGGAGGGGCGATAACAACTTACAGGGACTTGGTCCATTCTCTGTCTTGTGTTCTTGGGAATTGGAACAGTGCTTGGACTAAAGACGTTTCACGAGAACATGAGAATGCACAAGTTGGAATAGTACACTAAACACTAAACAGTCACACTAATGGGAAGGTATAAGCTTGAGTGTTGGAAACTGCAGATTTACAGCAGTCGTTATTAAACAATAATGGAGTCAAAAAGTAAAAGCTTTGTGCAGAGGTGGTTTGTACTTTATTTGTTAAAGAATCAGAAGAGGTTTTTTTTACCCGATAAATCCTCTTCTACTGTACGTCCCTCTGATGATAATCTAAATGTTTAAGGGATGGGGACATCAGTCCTCTGCAGCTGATGGGCACCCAGAGGACAGTCAGTGTTTACGAAGGTGCTATTTTCTAAAGGTCCTGTTATTCACAGTTATTCACTGGAGAATTAGAAGCCATATCATTTTCCAGTTTTTCTTTCCCCTTGAAGGTAGAAGCTCAAGCTTGTTTACGCCCTACTGTAGTCATAGTCCAGCTACATTTAATGCAGGTTTGAGAGGCTTTAACTCCTAGATTTATATTGCATCACTTTTTTTGTTTCTGTCCATCAGGGGTTTTCAGCTGGGCTGTTCGCCTTCTACCACGACCACGAGGGCAAACCTCTGACTCCTCGCTTCGCCAGCGGCCTGCCTGCGTTCAACGAGAGGTAAAACTGGAAAAAAAAACGTCTCCTTCCAGCGGATTTCAGGCCTCTGATCTGATCTGTTGTCCAAGATGCAAACCATGTATCTGCTCCTGCTTGTAATGCTTTTCATCAACTGGCTGTTTTATGAAGTTAGTTGGATTTGCAGGCTGTTATCAGCCAGTTTCCTCCAGAGATGCTGCCAGCTCTAACCTTGAATGTCAAACCTGTCGTTCAGCCTGGGCTTGTATCAATGGAGCGAGGCGGTAATCAGGAGGGTCAGCAGACTGTGGGACATCAGAGGAGGAGAGATGGTGCGGCACCATGTGCACGTCATGGTCACTCCTCGTGTCGTGGTAAGGAGCCGCCTCTATGACTCACACATTCAGCTTACAGCTGTTAGTAATGCTGTCAATTATCTGTTTTAGAGCTTTTTCAGCTTATTTTACAATATACAACAACTGTCTACAGTATTAAAGTATTTTTCTTTGAAGATTTCCACATTACGAGCACAAAATCCTGTTATTTTCACCAAAAAACACAAACTTGTCCTCAGTTAGAAAGAGAAGAAACAGGATTTTGGTCAGTTTTTAAAGGATGTTCCAGGTCTCTAAATCTGATACGTCTGAATAAATGCAGCACAGCTGCTCATAGGAAAACTATTCTCACATCTCCTCCTTCTGGACTCCATGTGGATTATGAGTCCTCCTCGCTAATCAGCCAAAGTGTCAAAAGTATTCATGTTTATTACTCAATTAGAAGTAGAAATATTACTGTTTAAAAATACTTTTGTAGAAGTTAGAGCATCAACTTTTAAGTACTATTTTTAAAACTACTTAATATATAAAAGAAATATTGAAAAGATGCCTTATTGCACTACCTTCTTAAAGGATTTTTTTTCCACAATTATGGATGATAACTTCCTTATACTTAATTTTCTTGGTTTTATAACTAATGGCAATATTGTCAAATTGAACTTGAAACATTATTTATTTCTGTACGTAGTGAACAACAAGTTGGTGCAGAACCGAGTCCAACCAAAAAGAAATACATTTTCTGCATTAAACAGATTATTTTGATTTTATTTTTTTATACCAATAGGCCGTAATGAAAATCAGGTTAAATTAAACAAAACGACTTCCGGTTTGCCATGCGGACAGGGTAGACGTAGCAACGAACTGCTCCAGAACAATTCAACCTTTTAACTAAATTCGCCCCACGGAAAGTTAATTTTGCGTCTCCCAGCGATACCAAAACATCTTGAACTGTGCTTTTGTTCAATTATTCACTAGTAATGGCCAGCAAAAGCGCGAAAGGAGGGAGGAAAGAGGATGCTAGCTTAACGCTGGAGGCTATCACCGCACTGCTTCAGCAGCATAGGGAGGATCTGAAATCCGAGTTCAAATCTTCTGCCAACATGCTTAGCTCCAAGCTAGACCAGATGCGGCAGACCCTGGAGGAACAAGCAGAGCGAATCTCCTCCTTAGAACACGCTACAGAGGATCTGAGCCAGCGAGTGGCTAACCTCGAAGACTCGTGTGCTGCTCTCCGTGAAGACAACGTCAAGTTAAAAGACAAAGTCACTGACCTGGAGAGCCGCAGTAGACGACAGAACATCCGCATCCTCGGTCTCCCTGAAGACACTGAAAGTGGGCGCCCTACTCTTTTCTTTTCCAACCTTCTCTGCGAACTGCTCGGGAAAGAGGCGCTCCCGACCCCACCGGAGCTCGATAGGGCGCACCGTTCCCTGGCAGCTAAGCGACCCGCGGGACGTCCACCTCGGCCGGTTATCCTTCGCCTGCACCGATACCAGACCAAGGACCTCATTATCCGGGAAGCCAGGAGGAGAGGAACGCTGGACTACAAAGGTGCATCTGTTCGTATTGTGGAAGACTACAGCCCAGACGTCCTGGCCCGACGCGCGGAATATAAGGACGCAATGGCGGAACTCTACAGGCGGGGGTTGAAGCCGGCTCTTCTCTTCCCGGCCCGTCTTCGTATTACGCAACCCGGCGGTGCCAAAAAGTTTCTGGGCTCGGTGGAGGAGGCGCAGCAGTTCATCAAGAGGCTCCCGAAACCACCAGAAGACCAATAAAGGAGCAACGCTGTACTGAGAGTTCACTACATAAAAACAGGCGGGCTGGTTTTCTTCAGGGCGCAGTAGGTACTGTAAATACAGCCTGTTAACTTAACATATTATTATTATTTTTTTTTTTTACAAATTGACCTATTCTGGCCATCCCTTTTGTTGGTATTGGACTTTATGAATGAAGGAGCAGCTCTAATAACACCGGTTTGTTCTGTCCCAATAGTGTCGGGAGCCTCCTTTTATCTGGTGTGGTAGCTTAATTTTTTTTTATTATATTTTTGCCACATTACTATTTTCCCTTGGTGTGCTCGGTGGCCAGTAAAGTACAAGATAAATATTTACGTTGGGGTGGGGGGGTTTTCTATTTCATGCCCACTAGGAGCAGTTGTTGGTTTTATATTGACAGCTGTTTTTTCTTTTTTCTGCTAATCTGAGGTTGTTGATTACTGGAAGATTCGATTTTTGAGAATGTTAATTTTGAAGAGCTTGCTGCCATGTTGTTGTTTGTTTGTTTTTTGTTCGGCAGCTGTTTACGTTTGGAGGGGGGGCTTAGGGGGGAGGCTAAGGTCACAGCCGGGGGTTTCGCATAGTGCTGTAACTGTTCTTTACATCTTTTTTTTTTTTTTTTCTCAATCTCTGCCTGCCATACTGTTATTATACCTATCAAAGTAAAATAGCACCTAAACTTTGAGACCATGAGTCGGTATTTAAATTTTCTAAGTTGGAATGTTAAAGGTTTAAACCACCCAGTGAAGAGAAGGAAGGTTTTCTCTCATATTAAACGATTTAATATAGATGTGGCATTTCTTCAAGAAACTCACATCAGGAGCTCGGACGGAGGTCGTCTTCTGACATGCTGGAGGGGACAATGTTTTCATTCCCATTTTCAGGTTAAGTCACGAGGGGTCTCCATACTTATCAGCCAGAATACTCCGTTTGAGGCCGATAATGTGGTGGCTGATAAACACGGCCGATTTATAATGGTGAGTGGGAAGCTGCACGACACTCTGGTTGCTTTGGTCAATGTTTATGCTCCCAACATCGATGATGAGAACTTTTTTAAGCAACTATTCTCTTCATTACCAGACCTCAATAAATACTCACTGGTCCTCGGGGGTGATTTCAATTGTTGGCTGGACCCAGCTTTGGATCGCTCATCCCTTAAAAGCAATGCCATAAGCAAGTCTGCATCAGTTATACAATCCTTTCTATCTGAGTATGGGCTATGTGATGTGTGGCGAACTCTAAATCCCAATAAGAGGGACTACTCATTCTTTTCACATGTACACAAAACATATTCAAGAATTGACTACTTTATCATGGATGCAAAATGGCTACAGCAGATACGTTCCTGTGACTACCAAAGCATAATTATTTCAGACCACGCCCCACTCACTATGTCCCTGTCCCTTCCCCATCTTCCCCTAAGAACTGGACAATGGCGTTTTAATTCAACTCTGCTGTCAGATGAAAACTTTGTAAAGTTTATTCAAGGCGAGATACGTTTCTTTTTTGCTACCAACTCCTCCCACGAAACCTCCAGCCTCGTGGTATGGGATGCCTTTAAGGCCTACATCAGAGGCCAGATTATTGCTTATTCAGCAAAAATTAAAAAACAAGCCACCTATGAACAGAACAACCTAACGCAGCAAATCAAAGAGATTGACATAAAATATGCTTTGAATCAATGTCCAGAACTGTTTAAAAGACGGGTTGAACTTAAAACAAGGCTCGACCTATTGACAGCACACTCAGCCGAACGCCTGCTTTTACATAACAAATCTAAATTTTATGTGCATGGTGACAAACCTGATAAACTGTTAGCAAACATGCTCAAGGGTTCTAGGGCAAGGCAAACTATCTCCAGAATTCGAAAACAAGACGGTAATGTAGTCACAGACCATTGTCAAATTAATGATGCATTCAGGGACTTTTATGAGGAGCTTTACAGCTCACAATTACAAACCAATTCTAACATGACTGATGATTTTTTAGCTAAGCTTCACATTCCTGTAATCTCACCAGAATTTAAAAATAGGCTGGATGAACCTATTTCTCTTGAAGAAGTATCCCTAGCAATAGCCTCAATGCAACCTGGCAAATGCCCAGGACCGGATGGTTTCCCTGCAGAATTTTTCAAAAAAATTTCAGATTTACTCTCTGTGCAGCTCAGCTCTACTTTTAGTGACTGTTTTAAACATGGATCCCTTCCCCAATCCTTCTACGAAGCTTGTATCACACTTATAAAAAAAAAAGGCAAAGATCCAGTGGAATGCACCTCTTACAGACCTATCTCCCTCTTAAATACCGATGTGAAAATTCTGGCCAAAATTCTTTCCCGTAGACTTGAAGCGGTTTTACCCTCAATTATTTCCAATGACCAAACAGGCTTCATTAAAGGTCGGCACTCATATTTTAATATTAGAAGACTGCTCAATATCGTTTATTCTAGTGCCACGGATTCGGCTGAGTGTGTGGTCTCTCTGGATGCCGAAAAAGCCTTTGACCGGGTTGAGTTCGACTATCTATTTGCGGTCCTTAACAGATTTGGCTTCGGAGGAAACTTCATTTCATGGATTAAATTATTATACCAGCAACCGTCTGCCACAGTTCGTACCAACCTTCAGATCTCAAAACCATTTAAATTACAAAGAGGCACCCGTCAGGGATGCCCTCTTAGTCCCCTGCTTTTCGATCTGGCCATAGAGCCCCTTGCCATTGCACTTAAAACCAGTAAACAGATATCCGGCATTTGGAGGAATGACATGGAACACAAAGTGTCGCTTTATGCAGATGACCTTCTACTTTTTATTTCCAAACCATCAACTTCATTGCCTTCTGCTCTCAATATATTTAGCCAATTCAGTCAGATTTCAGGGTATAAGTTGAACCTTACCAAAAGTGAGCTTTTCCCCATAGGTAATGAAGTTAGCATGTCAGACTTTGCTAACCTGCCATTTAGAATTGAAAGACAAAAATTTACATACCTTGGTATCACAGTGACAAAAAAGCATAAAAATTTGTTTAACGAGAATTTGATTAAGCTGTTGAACCAAGTGAAGGAATCCCTCACAAAGTGGACACCCCTCTCCATGTCCCTTGTGGGACGTATCAACTCAATTAAAATGAATATACTGCCCAAATTTTTATACCTTTTTCAGGCATTACCCATTTGTATTCCTAACACTCTTTTTCATGAGCTAGACTCAATTTTTTCATCTTTCATCTGGCAGGGTAAACGCCCAAGGCTTAATAAATTACAACTCCAAAAACCAAAGCCACAAGGGGGGTTTACCTTCCCCAATTTTCAGTTCTATTACTGGGCTGCTAATCGTAGATGCCTAGTGTTTTGGTATTTCTATCATAATCGAGGGGGCTGTCCTGACTGGGTGGCTATGGAGCTACGCAGTGGTAACCATTTGTCCATCCCGGCCATGCTGTGTTCCCCACTCTCACTCTCAGCATCTAACCCTACTTTAAACCCAGTAGTGAAACACTCACTGAAAATATGGGGCCAGTTTAGGAAATACTTCAAACTCCATGATTTCTCCTTCTTGCACTTAACCATTTTTTTAAACCATCTGTTCAGGATGGGGTGTTTCTAGAGTGGCAGCAGAGGGGACTTACTTACTTTAAGGACTGTTTCATTGGGAAAAAATTGGCATCCTTTGAGGAACTTGGCAAAAAATATGGTTTACCTAAATCCCATTTTTTTAGATATTTACAAACCAGAAACTTTATTCAGTCTCACTTGTCAGGCTCAATATCTCTGCCAGAGCATACACTGTTGGAAACCATCCTATCATTGAACCCAACTTCTAAAGGGCTGGTTTCATGGCTTTATAACAGAATGCTCACTATGAAAGAGACCTCCACACTTAAACTTAAAGCCTCATGGGAAGAGGACTTGAATATGACCATAGCAGATCAGACATGGGACTCTATACTTAAACTGGTAAATACCTCATCTCTATGTGCGCGCCATTGCCTCATTCAGTTCAAAGTAGTACATAGAGCCCACCTCTCCAAATATAAACTATCGCGTTTCTATCCAGGAGTCACCCCTTACTGCGATAAATGCAAAACTGCTTTAGCCACGCTGGTCCATATGTACTGGTCCTGCCCCACTCTTGGTCATTTCTGGACAGATGTTTTTCATACAATGTCCGGGTTGGTGGGAACGGTGATAACACCTGGCCCTCTTCTGGCTCTGTTTGGTTTTAGTGGTGAGGGGTCGCCTTTACCAACCTCTAAACGGCAGGCGCTGGCATTCTGCTCACTGTTAGCGAGGCGCACAGTTCTAACCAGGTGGAAGGGTGCGGCTCCTCCAACTCACAAACAGTGGTTATGTGACATCATGTCATGTCTGAAACTGGAAAAAATTAAATGTTCTATCCAACATTCAACTGGTAAATTTGAGGAGATATGGGGGCCCTTTCTTGACTCATTCCAAAACGCAAAATAATGCCCCGGGTTATTTATAAAAAAATAAATAAAAAATTCAATAAAATGTGTTCTGTCTCAGTAAGGGATAAGAAAGTGCAGGAGTGCGCTGACCTCTTGGTAGTGACCTGGGTGGGCTGATTGGGATTTTTTTTTTTTTTGTAGGGATTGTTTTTGCTGTATTTGTTTCTATATCTTGTTGGATAACTATATATATATTTTTTGTATTTACAAACTGTATGTATAAAAGGAATACTCAATAAAAAGACAGTGATTAAAAAATTAAACAAAACTAACCAGTTTATTTTTAAAATGTAAGGAGTAAAATGTAGAGATAATAGCTAAAAAAGATATAGGGAGTAGAAGTAAATGGTTGTCTAAAAAAATTATTACTTCTGTAAAGTATTGATAGTCAAAATTTCGACTTCAGTGAGGTTACAAAGTATCTGTACTTTGTTATTGGAGACCTCTGCTCATCAGATCGTTCATAAAAGTGTGACAGCACTAGTTTCATTATTAAAGAGGAAAATGTGGAGGAGGCAAAGATAAACAACAACAGCATCCTCCACTGTGTAACACGGTGGTGGCAGCGTCATGTGGCAGTATGTAGCATTTTAGAAAGCGGTGGATTTTGCTAAAATACAGCCTTCACCTTCCAGGTCGACAGTAACCCTAACAGAGCTGCAGTTGAACCGGATGATTTTAAGATTTTTGGCAAAATGTTTAGTCTGTAGGTGTAAAAAAAAGGATACACAGCATAATTTCTAGTTTTCCTAGCTTCTGTGTATAATTTTCCTTCCATGTTGCAATAATGTGTTGAGAGCAGAGGAAGTTTTGGCCTGGATGTAATTTAGGTAACTGCTTGTATCCCTCCTGCAGGAGGAGGCGAGGAGGCACTTTGACTGTCCCATCCTGGAGGGGATGGAGCTGGAGAACCAGGGAGGAACAGGAACTGAACTCAATCACTGGGAGAAGCGGCTGCTGGAGGTGAGAACCTGAACCCTCCTTTGCTCAGACAGCTGCTGAACTTCTTGCTTTTTCTCACGGTTCGGTTGGACTCCTTCCAGAATGAGGCCATGACGGGTTCCCACACCCAGAACCGGGTGTTTTCTCGCCTCACGCTGGCCATCATGGAAGACAGCGGCTGGTACCGGGCCAACTACAGCATGGCTCAGAGGCTGGACTGGGGCCGCGGCCTCGGCTGCGACTTCGTCATGAAGAGCTGCAAGTTCTGGATGGAACGGCAGAGACGGAGGTCATTTACCCTCCTCTGCATGAATGTTTATGTCTTTTTCAATAACATTGGCAGAAGTGATCTTAATCAGCATTCTTTAGTGCATTTCTTTAGCTAAAAGCTGCTTACCAAGCAGAAATGATCAGGATGAACTTTCTGAGTCAGCCAACTTTCTTTGTGCTTTGACATTTTTCAGAGTCTATAATGTAACACATGATTAAGCTTCAGTGTCTCATGTTCTTACTTTCGTTGGCAGGCGACACCCGGTGACCCCGTTCTGTGACACGGTGCGGGCCTCTCCTCTGCAGCTTACCTGCAGACAGGACCAGCTGGCTGTGGCTGTCTGTAACCTGCAGAAATACCCCCAACAGTTACCCCTGGAATACCAGGTGGGTACAACTAGGAAACCTGTTCAGGGGACAAGTCATCCAGGTTCTTTTTCCCAATGTTTCTTGCTGTATATTGTGTAAAAAATGTAATGTAATTTCCTTAACTGTCCCACGATGGGGAAATTCTATCTCTGCATTCAACCCATCCCCTGGGGAGCAGTAGGCTGCCATTGTGTGGCGCCCGGGGAGCAGTGTGGAGTTAAGGGTTTTGATCGAGACCCAGAGTAGAGGCTGTGGGGATCTCACATATTATATTGTCAGAGAGATGTCACCACTTAAACAGTAATTTTAAGGTTTTTTCTTTTTATAGTTTTTAACAGGTTATGATTATAATACATTTTATTTATAATACAGTTAACATTTCAGTGAGTGCTACAGTTAAAACTAAAGAATAAAACAACACTGGAGTAAATCCAGTATTTAAAAGCTTTCCTAAACAGATGGAAATGCTTATTTTTTTATTGTAAATACTGCTTAGGATAGTATTTAGGTTTGTCTTCCAAGACGCACGTTTTTTTTTTTGTTTTTTTTTATATCTTGTTTTATGTTTTAATTAGAGCCTGGCGATATAGCTAGAAAAAGAAATTAATAGTTTTTTTTATTCCTTTTGGTTTCTCTTAATAAATAAGAGAAACCAGCTTTAATTTCAGACATCCATGTCGGGAGTTGAGCTGAATTCAAAGTGCTACTAAAACCAAGCTGCAGAAAAACATGTTTGTAAAGCAGGTTTGCAGCCTTTCTGTTATAAACAGAGAAAGCGTGACACACAGCTTCACACAGTGAGCTACTTTATAAGAACAGAAAGTGAAAAAATTATCGTTACTCTGAACTATGGAAGCCCAAAAAGTATATTAGTGAAAACAAGAAATTATGACTTTATTCAAGTAATGTTACATTTTTTTGTCTTGTAATACTAAAAAGTATGGCTGTAATACTGTGTCGTATGAACACTTTAAAGCTGCTGGATGTAGTTATTGCTGCTTTGGGATTTTTTGCTCAGCCTTTAATTCCGAAAAGAAAAAGCGTTTAAAAATTCCTCTGATGCTGAACTGTTAAAATCTCCTTCCAGAATTTAAGCACAGAGAAATAATCCCAGATCTGTGTTTAAACTAGTTGGTTTTAAGAAAACCAGACATTCCTCTTTTTCTGTTTCTTGGCGTCAAAAGTAAAGAATAAATCTGGAAGAGCTTTTTATTTTTGCTATTAATATTATTATGTCAGAAATGTCTGCATTAACCCTCCAAAGGTTTTAAATCGTAACCACGATTTATTTATTCTAGACTCTACTACCCCCAAATCACTGAACCACAGCAGCATCACTGCTACTATAGACCGATGCTCTCAGCATCAGTGGATGCAGCCATCCCAAAATGACCCTCATTTATTTTTTGAACCCACCTGGGAAATCACAGAACTGACAGCCCGGCTGTTTGATGAAGCAACTTGATGCTCTGAAAGGATAATCAGAAAAAGAATTAGCTTAAACTGGACCTTCTTTTTGCTTATTTGCATCCAGAGCAATACTGTACATATTCACACACTTCAAGGTCTTCACTCTACTCCATAAGAATTCGTGAATATGTGAAGTTTAGATATTTTATCAATGAAATCGCCTGTTAAATGTAAACATACTAAAACAGCTCATTGATGAACCATATGGTAGTTTTCTACAGAGTTTATCATCAGATAAAGATCAGAATATGGTCCCCTGGTTATCACTGTGCAGAAACAGAACAATCTGAGTGCTTTGTTTTTGGTCAGTATTTCGATCAGATCCCTGATGTCTCGGAGGATCAGCTGTCGTCCTTCGGGGGTGCTGTAGAGATTGCTGATTTCTGCCCCTTCAGCCAGGAGTTCAGCTGGCATCTCAGCGGAGAGTATCAGAGAAACTCGTACTGCAGAGTATCAGAGAACCAGCCAGGTAGTTTCACCGTATTCATCAGGTCCAAATAAAATCCCACTAGAAAGAAACCTGTGCTTATAGATGAGCTGAGATAATCAAACTGTGTTTGTGTTCAGACTGGTGGAGGAATTATGGAGCGGAGCAGTACGGCCCGCACTCTGTGTGTCTGTACCAGAGGTCCGCCTTCGTCATGGAGCAGTGCACCAGGAAGATGACCTACCCAGACTGGGGCTCCGGATGCTACAAGGTGCAGTCAGTTTAAGGCTGAGCAGGGATTTAAACTCATAGCACAAAGAAAACCTTACAGGTGCATTTAGGGGGTTTTAGGGTTTTTCCAACTTCTCCATCTTGACTTATTATTTGTTCACAGTAAATATAAAGGCATCCTGGAGGTCAAACAATGCTTGCATGCTTTCAGCCGTGTCACATGCATCGCTGCTTCCTCTATTTGCCATTCGTTCTTAATGTTTAGTTTGATCTGTTAATAAATGTTTCATTTTTGTTTAGATGGAGACCTGTGTAACATTTATCTTTGTCTTGCTTTAAAAAAAAAATGTAAATAGAGGAAGGGAAAACAACATCTGCTTCAGGAAACAGCCCCAAAAACTGAGCACCACATACTGGGTATCAGTTTGTTAGTTAGTTTGTTGTAAATGGAAGAAAATCAAGTTTTGTTTCAGATAATCTGCTTTTAAGGATAATGATCTGATTCACTGATGAAGCTGCAGAAGATTCGGCAACTAGAGGTTGGACTAGAGGCTCCCTTAAGACCGCGTACTTCACGCTTAAATAAAACCTGCTCCACCAGGTTGGGCACCCTCCTTCATCGGTGTTTCGATGACTAGCCCCCGACATCTCCAGAGGGGGGGACCACCTGGCGTCCCCGTTTACTCAGATCAAAGATCTAAAGCCAGAGCCACTGGAAAGGGAGCTGAAGGTCTGTTGCCGAGCTTGGCCTTGGATCCCCACTTCAGCAGTCTGGTTATTAATCTGCCCAGCAACCGCCTGCAGCCGCCCTCAACCACGTAAACCCTGGTCCTCCATCTGTGCTGTTCTGCATCAGCTGCAGTATTTAGAGCTCCTCCATTAATAGTTATCCTCACAAGGCACAGTCATTTGACTATTAGCTGAGTGGAGGGAGGAAGAACAGAGCGCAAGGTTGGGCTGAGATTTGCAACCACATTCTCAACACCTGCTTGTGCCGGCAGGTGTAGCCGCCTTGCAATAAGCTTGTCTTGCAAACCACCAGTACATGTCCGCTGTGTCTATGAGATGGACACAGTAGACTTGTTTTAATTTGTGATTCAAAGTCTGCTTACAAGAGCAAAGTGAAGAATTGCTGATTGTTTCTGTGGTTTGTAGAAGGCAGAATGATTTAAGCTGAAGCTTGGAGACGAACATTAAAATGCTGAATCCGTTTAACCACAAATTGGAAATAAAAATCCCCTTTTTTTTTGTTTTGATACCAACTGTAATGCTCCCACTGGTTGGGGCCAATATATCATTAGGAACCCAATTTTCCATAGCAAAGAAAAACACACAGCTGAAATGAGATCTCAGTAAATTCCCTTTTCGTGAAATGAGGGTATTGTCCCTTGTTTTGAGTAGGTAAGACAATTATCTGTTTTTCAAAACACAAAGACAAAAATACAAGGCAAATTATTTTATTTACCTGATGATATTAAGAACAAATACACTGATTTTAATATTTTACTCTTTTTAAATCAGTTTCAGCAGTGCAGTAATGATCATCTGACAAATTATTTGCTCTTAAATCTAATTACCCTGAACACTAACACAGAAAAACTGGTCACACAGAGGTTTTCCAGTCCTAAACTGATAAACCTGAATGAGCTTCATTGCATTCACCTGCCGGCTTTTAGTAAACATCAAAAAACAAGAAATACCACAAATAGGTGAGAGAGAACGATGGATTCTTTAATCCTTTATGTCTCTGTATTTCTTTGTAAATGAAACTGACCCAACGCCCCCAACTAAAAGGTTTCTCTGCCCTCCATTCAGGTCTCGTGCTTGTCCCAGGGCCTCACCGTCTACGTACAGGATCGCTCCTTCCTGTGCTCCCGGAAGGGTCAGCTGCTGAGCGTCAGCGTCCGGGTCAGCGACTGGGTTTACAACGGCGTCCTGGTCTGCCCCGCCTGCACCGACTTCTGTGATGACTGTCCCCTGCCCCACCAGCTCCTGCCCATCAACACCTCCAGGAGCGAACCCATCGGTCAGCCGCTATCAGGGCCACAGAATCAGGCTGTAGTTAGAAACACTTAAGAAAACAAAACATTTATTTAAAAAACACCTGTTTATAAAGCTGGATTCTCTCTCTTTGTTGCCTTTAGATCCCTGCTCCAGTTCGCCTGGTCTGGCCATTACTCTCTGGCTCCTTCTGCTCAACCTGCTCCCACTAGTGGCTGGACTGCTGATTTGCCACTGCAGCTGATAAAACACACACATACACAAACACCCACATGTTCACAATAAGGTAGCTAAAACTCTACGGTACTGTAGCCCTGAGAGGTCTTGATGACACTCATCTTTCCCCCTCTTTATAGTTTTCCCTCCTTTTATCCTGAAACTGGAAAAACAACAATCCTGAAACATCCTTGACTCCCTCTTCCTCCATTCCCAGCCCTTTTTTTTAACCTTGTTTCATCTCAGGATCTTCGCTCTTCCATTCCTCTTTTGGGGTTTTAAATTATACAACTCTCTGTGTCTCTCAGTGCTGTCTGCAGCAGAATGGTGTGTTTACATGCACTTCAAAAACCAGGTTACACTCAGCCTTCATGTAACTAAGAACCCGAGTCACTTTATTCAGGTTGCAGACGCCTGACTCACTCCTTTGCCTACAAACACATGTTTACGCTTCTAAGAGCCAGGAGGTTATCTCTGCCTGGAAGAGGTACCGGTACGTGGATTTAGCGGCTCGTGTCGATACTCGCTAGCAAACTGTCCTTTCACCGGGATCCTGTCTTTGGTCGAGCATCAGATATTTTAGTTTGTAGCAGGCATGTTATAAACTAATACTTCTTTTCTAAAACTACAATTTCAATATACATATTTCTGTTTCAAAAAAGCACTTTTAATGTAGGAAAAAATCCAGATGGATTTTTCTTTATCGTTAATTGAGCAAAGTAAACTTTCTATAAAACCTTTGAAATGTTCAGACCTGGAATGTGTATCCATCCTGGACTGGTTCCAGTCTTGGATAAACCACAGCAAACATTTCGTCATGTGACAGCGTGACGCTTTGGACATGATTTGATCTGTGAAGGATTTGTTAGCATCAAAGATTCATTCAGACACTAACCTGTGTGAAACTCATCTGAGGGACATTTTTATAAAGTTTATGCTTCACAAATCTTTATTTTGTCATCTATATATTGAAGGAACTAAAGATTAAACTTTTCCACCTCAGACAGCTTCAATATCAGCGCACAGACACTAAAGATTTATACCCAAAAAACAGCTGCTCTGCGCACCTTTATTGAGCTACATAAAAGTGGGGGAATATTTATTAGATGGCTGCTATGCACCCTGTAATCAACTGACCAATCAAAGTGCTGAGGTGGTTCTGGCTTGAGTTTTTGGCCATCTTCTATGATCAGCCCCAATAGGACGTATCTTGATCCCAGATATGAATGTGCATTAGAGTTACACTGCTATTCTGTTTTGAAAACGACGCGTTCCTCAGATTTGTTGTGTTTCTTTCAAAAATCTCAGGCAAATCAATATTTTTGGTTTAATCTCAAAGAAAGCCCAAGTTCTTCATGCAGCAGATATCAGATGTGAGAAAGATGTTAAGCTAATGTTCAAAAAGCATCTGGGATTCAGGGATTTTCTTGTTGTTTATGGCTCGTTCTAACCAGTAACTACAAAAATAGACTTAAAAATAGACTTAATAATAATAATAATAATAATAATGAGATACAAACCATTGGATTTGATAGTGAATCATTTATCCTTGCTATTGAAGATCACATGTTTTTTTATTTATCTTTTATTGGCATATAACATGATTTTGCTCCTTTTAAATGTCCCTCTTCTGAGCAGAGATGAAACTCACCATGGGGTCACAGTTCACTTGTGTTTTTTTGCGGTGCATGTAAACATGTTTTACTGATGTTACACTCAACAGAAATCTTATTTGATGGAATGAAACAGGATTATATTTCCGTTCAAACACATCAGGCTGTTTCTCAGCAGAAACTTCATGAGATCTCTCAAACTGGAATTCATTTTTCATTTTTTTTCAACTTGAATGCTCAGGTTTTATTTATCTCGTCTCCTTGATGTTGAACTAGCGACAAACTGGAGGACTTGTCTCCAAGGCTGGATTTTAGATCTCATTATCGCTTTTGGATATTTAGTTTTTACTGCTGCATTTATTCATCCCAAACAGAAGCAGGGAGGGACCCCAGCGAGCCTGTTTAGACTGTTTGAGAATTAAAAGCTTCTAAAGCTGCTAAATCAGACAGAAAACATGTAAAGGAATTAGACAGACCAGCTGTCCAGTGGGGCAGACTGTTCCTTTGAGGTGATTCTTTTCATTTTGGGATCTAGTGAATTACCTCGTTTGTTCAGAGCTGACCTTGTGCCCCCATCATCCAGTAATAATAAATGAATTTGTATCTGTTCTTACAGTCAGGAGGAATCATGAGGATCTGAGGTTTCTTTTCTAACCTCATTCTGTGCACATAAAGGTAACGCAGCATGCTGACAGACGCATGCTCTGCTGAAACAGATTATCCTTTAGTTTGTTTACAGTTATATATTCTTTATTCACCTCCAAACGTTGAGGCCAGATCTTGGATTAACGCCACACCCAAGGTCATAGTTCCTGGGTTCTGTTTGCAGGGTTCAGATGGGAATATTTCCGTAGCCAATAAACACTTCAGTCACTCCAGCACTTTGTCTGATATCTCAATAAAGCTGTTAAATCAAAAGGAGTGGTACATTTCACAATTATAGTGAGTTAGAAAAAAGAACTTTAGAACGTGAACGTGAACATCTATGAGTATCTTTAGTAAGTTTTAAACCACCAGACGATCCAAGACAAACTGCCTGACACTGTTTTCTATGATGGGCAGTCATATTTTTGGGAAACTTCCGACTTTCCTAAGGGGAATTCTGACTTCATGTGGTTAAGTGTTTTGAATTAGAGGCAAGGAACCTGGACTCCAACTTATCTGGTTTTTCATAAGTTGTCAAAATCTCAATTTTCTATAACGTGAAAAGAAAGATTAATGGTACAGTAGCAGCCATTCAAAATGGCCCTTCCCAGTCAGACGCCAGCCGAACAGCAGCCCACTTCCCTCCAACTCCCAGTGAAAATCCTCCAACTTCCAGCCACGGCAGTGACCCCTTCTTGCATATTTTTTTACTCTGACTCCATCCTTTCACTGAATTACAGGGTCTGACCAGGAGAAGACTTAATCAGGAGTGAACTTAATGTCAAATCATGACAGAAGGAATATTTTAGTACAAATGTTGATGTTTAAAAAGGAATCATAGGGGACCAGCAAAGGGCCCATTAAGGAAAGCATGAACATTTTGAATGGCTTCTACTGTATAGTTAAACTCTTTAAACATTTCCTAGATATTGACAGATCTATTGTTTTCTATATGGGGGATTTAGACCCTCCGTGTTTTCCGCATTGCTTAGGTGGGTGGTTTCCACACTTTTCCTCTCTGGGCTCCATTTTTACTTTTCAAGGTTTTCACCTTGCTTCTTTTTTTCAGACATGTAAACACTAATAAAATGACTGTTTTAATCAGCTCAGTTGTAACCTTGGACATTTCTATAATGGATTTTTGCAGTTTTGTACTTGATTTTTTTTTAAACGCAGCCCAGTGTGATGAAGGACACTCCTTTCAGCAGCTTAGGGCTCATGTTCACAAACTGAAGGAAGCAAAAGCCAAAATTCTCTGATATAAAGTTCTTATTTAATGCAGAACAAAATGACCTTTCAGCTCAGTGTCAGTCTGTGTTTGTGTGAAGGGAGGAATGACCGTACGCTGCCACAGGAAGGGGGGATTTTTTGTGTGTCAATTGTGATTGTGCTGCTTTTATTATTGGTGTCAAAAGACAAATGAGATTTAAAGTTTGTTCAACTGGTTGGTTTTTATAAGCAGCTGCACTGCATTTCCAGAAAAGCTTTTCCTGGGGAACGCACCGTCCTAATCTTGTGGTTTCTCTGTCATGTGATCTTATTCAAACATTCTCTCCAACAAAAACGCTCAAGGCCTTTTAACCCTGGATGGAGGAGGATTTCTGTCCAGGTTTTGGTTCTTGTAGCAGATGTTTGTTGCATTGGCAACATCGATGGAGCATTTTTCCTCTTGTAGAGTCTAAGCTGCTGCAGCGTAACAGAGACATCATCCTCATCTTTTACTTACCTTTCAGGGGACAAAAAACAAAAACAGTCCTCTTTTGTTCTTTACCTTTATTCTTGAAAAACGGATAACTAGTCTGAAATACATGAAACATAGAACATGACGGATATTGTTTAATTTTTTTCTTTTTATACTGTTTTTGAATAAATTTCTCCGGTGCAGCTTGCTAACTCGTATTAAATTGCAGCTCATATGAAGCTAAAATAAGTTAAAGTTTCTGAAGCCTGAAGTTTGCACTAACTTGGACTTTTCTGATTAACTGGAACAGAGTAAATGAAGGATGCATGCAGCGACTGAATGAAAAGGCTTCGGCTTTAGGTTCGGTTATTATTGAATTAAGCTGATTTTTTTCTGTTTGTTTGTTCGATCTGTGAGACGTCTGATTGGACATTTCGTTTGGCAGCAACACGTCAACAAGAAGGAATAACTGTTTGTCTCGTAAGCTTTTATGTGAAGCATCTTGATCTTGGTGTCGTCACTGTTAGCATTGCTCAGATGATCCGACCTCGGTCGACTTTTCTTATCGTATGGAAAAAACAATCGATGAAATTTATGTTTACTGATGATGCGACTAAGCTAACATAAGATTTTGTTTTGAATAAAAATGTATTTATTATTCTTTTATGTATCGTTGAAAATGCCATGGAAACAATTCTCTGTTTTATTGTTGAGGTAAAGAGCAGTGGAACTGTAAAAGCTGTTTTTTTTTTTTAAGGGCTGCCTTTACTACAAATAAATGCTTTCCTTACCCCCTGAATGTGTTTGTCTTATTTAATAAGGACAACTACCATTACTATCATTAGTAAATCTGCTCCCAGCTGGATCCAAAGACTGATGCTATCTCTGCCACATAGTTTAACAGTTAAAAAGATACTACAGCTGATACTACAGTGTATCCCATGTTTTTTATGCTTATATGCATTGACCTACATCACAGGAAGGGGCAGGGTGATATACACTTAAAATCTTATCATGATATTGGCTGAAATCTGGGTGATAATGATAAAACGAGAGAAAAAAAAAGTCTTTCTTAAATGATTTTAGTGCTGTGAAATAAAAAAAATGTATTATGTAGTTTTCAGTTGAAATATTGAGTACTTAAGGTTATTTTACAGATTTTTTTATTTTCAGTTTTAGATATGCTTAGTGTCTTTATACACTTTCTGATGTTGATAGCCCCTCCCCTTTGGCTAGATCTAAGCCTTACTATGTATATTCAACAGGGTTTCCGTGGGTCATTAAAAGTCTAATTATTTTTTAAATTAAGGCCTTAATTGGCATTAAAATTCAATACATGTGATTATAGTGGCATTTAAAATACTTTATTTAAAAAAACAATTGTTCATAAAAATGACATCAATATCAGATATAACAGTTTCAGGTGTTTGTAAGGAAGTGCTTCCAGTTGATCGTAAACCTGTATGTTCAGAAAAGAAGCACGAGCCTGAGAAAAAGCTGGAGAACGGGAAAAAGCACGTGGCTGGAAAACATGGAATTCGGGACATGGCTGCAGCCTGTAGACGGTGAAGAAGACGAAGGATTTTGCCCTGGTTTTAAAAGATAGATAGATAGATAGATAGATAGATAGATAGATAGATAGAGTCATGGGTACTTGATGATGGCATTAAAATTATTTCTAAGTGCATTAAAAAGCATTAATTAGAGTTACTCATTCCTGTATAAACCCTGCACAAATTGAGGATATGATGATGACAAATTGAAAGCGATAACATGATCTAGTGACTTTCCGTCCTAAGGCAGCAGTGAGAGAGCTGCAGATGCCAATATGTCAGTAGGTTGAACTTTTCGACACAACTGTAATAGTAACTAAGTGGAGCGATGGACGCTGGACCAGCAAGCTTTCAGAATCATGAAAACTGAAACAATGGAGGGACACATTTATATGCTTGTTGCTGGCAAAGGAAACTCTAAATATAAGCCACAATAATGGCTAGAAAAAAAAAACTTCATTTGGATTTTTTGGCAAAATGGTTCAACAAGCAGCTGTAAAGTTTTCTGTGGTTAGATTCAAAATCAGACCAGAAGAAGCAGCCTTCTAAGCCAAACTGCTCTGATGTTACCAACAATTCATGGCAACAAAGCCTGGCCAAGGTTACTGGGTTTTCCTGCTCTGCAGGTTTTCAAAGGATAAAGTCAGATTCCCTTTACTCGCTACTGAAACATGAATCCATCATGTTAGAGTCAAAGGAGACTGCGGCTGCAGTGTTTTTGTTTGTTTAGGATCCTTCCTTTCCGATTGTCTGACTCCCTGGATCTCCATCCTGTCCTTTGGTCTCTTTGATCCACAAAAAGCCCACTTGAGTGCCAAAGTTGACCCCGTCTCTGACGTGGGAGAAGAAGTCGTCTGGATTGCAGGAGGTACAGGGCGTCACAGAGGGCCGGTCCGCCACCATGTTTTCATGGATGTTCTCTGGGAGGATGCCACATTTCTCCAGGAGAACTCTGGAAATGAGGGAACACTGACCGTCAGTCACCATTTTAGAATAAGGAGAAGGTTTCTAATCAGATTCTGTATATTTTCTAGGTCCTTCATAACTTTAAATACTTTAAAAAATAATATTCAAAACTGCGTTTTTATTGTCTTTGATCAAATTAACTTCATACCGCAGATCCTCCCACTATAACTGATGGCACATACAGTCCTAACAAAATGCCCATTTTCTGATTCGTACCTGTTGGCGAGGCGGATGTCCACGTGCGGTTTGGCTGACTCTGGATCAGGTACGCAGTCTGGATGCAGGGTGATAAAGTCTGCCGCCTGCTCTTTGTCCAGCACGAAGCAGCACACCCCCACAGATGGCCCCACCGCCACCACAATGTCGCTGTGCCGACAACCAAAATGTGTTACCATGGCACTTACAGTTGCTGGGGCAACGCCCATCACAGTCCCTCTCCAACCTGCAAAATAACCGGAAAAAAGAAAACATCACATTGAGGTAAACTGACTCATATGAGAAAAGAGATTATCAAAAATCTGGTCTTACAAATAAAAATATTAAACATGATGGCACAGATATTTACATCTTCCCCACCTGTAATTACACACATCTACCACTAGGATGTTCTGTTAAGAATAAAAAAAGGCAAAAAAATGAAATTCCTTTTTAGACACAGTATTTGGTGTTTTTAATCGTTTCTTATGCATTTTTTTTTGTAATAATAATTTTAAAAATCTGATAGCCAAAATCAGATGAATATCAGCGGTAAGCTGGGATACAGCAAGCATATAAATCAGTTCCTCCCTAGCACAGATGCTTTGCAGCAATAAGGTTTTTGGATCCCAGCCTGTGGTTTTCCTGCAAGACTTTAAATCCTGTCTGTTTGGTTAATTGGTCTGAATTGCCCTGTGCATTCATGGTTGTTTTATGCTGTGTGTTTTTTGCTTAATGACATCTGGACATATTTGCCTGCCCAAAACCAACCTGCAAGTATGCAGAATGGCTGGAGTAAAAAATATTTGTTCATTTAGACATCATCTCCTCATCCATTAGAGGGGAAGTTATCTACCAATCAATCGATTTGTCAACCTGTCTTCATTTTCTCCCTTTATGTATCGTTTCTAGGGATGTTCTTCTGTTTACAGGTACATTGCTTCATTAAAGTAACACTGGTCGATAGGGATGTTCATGTCAATATATTCTACATCCCTAGGTTTGATATGTACACTCTGTATGACTTTTTTGGATCAATCTCTGACATTCAAAATAAAGTGGTAGTAAAAAGAAGAGCCTGCAGATGTCTGAGTATCTCATTTACCTGCATGAGCCGCCCCAATGACCTTCTTGACTGGATCAGCAAACAGGATGGGCATGCAGTCGGCTCCTGGAGCCGCCAGAACAACCCCTCTCTGATTGGTCACCATGGAGTCGTAGCTTTCTGGCTCCGGGTTCCCCAGAACCAGCACGTCGTTGGCATGGTTCACCTACGGGTTTCACCAGGACAACGTTTAATGTTTGCTGTGATGGGCAGATAGGCTGCAGACTGGGTTTATGATTAATGGGTTGATCGTTTGCTGCAGAAGGTCATCTTTTTTATTTACCTTGACCAGACGTAGAGGAAGAGGATGAAACCCAGCATGAACGGCGAGCCGGCGCCTGTTTTCTGCCACAACAGCCGTTGGGTCCCTCCTCTTACTGCTGCAGAAGAGATTTAAGGAGGACAGGGTTGGGATGTAGGAGACTCCACCTGAACGGGTGCTGAAGCCGTGACCAAAGCAGTCTAAGAGAGACACAGATGCCACATCCAGCTTTACTGAAGAATAAACAGACCTCTGCTCTTATAATTCAATACAGTCAAAATTAGCTGAAATTAGAAAATACATTTCATTTGGATAGAAGGGGAAAAAAAATCAAAGTTCCCCAAATTCTAAAAGTAGCCTGCTTAGTGTTGCAAAAAAAAGCCTGAACTTTAGGATAAGAGATTGGGTTTTACATTTTCCTTCATTTCTCAGCCATCTGTAAATATAAAAAAAGCCAACTTTTTGTTCTTGATTATTAGCTGATATACTGCAAGTAAAATCTAAATGTTAATTGCATATGCAGCGTGGTGGAATCATATGCATCACTGTATGTTCCTAAAAAGTTCAAAACCATCTTTTTAAAGGTGCTTCATTTGAACTTTCTGAGAAGCGATTCGGTTTTGTCTAGAAGTTTTTAACTAATATTCTTCATTTTTGCTCATTTTGTTTCTTCTGTGTTTCAAATCATGCAACCTGAATAAAAGGCAGGTTTCAAACCCTGACCTCATTTATAGGGAATAAAAGCCATACAACCAGAGCAGATTCATAGACAAAGAAGTAAGTAGTTTCCCTGTATAAAATTTATAAGACTCAGTGAGGAACTAATTTACTGTGATGCAAATACATTATTTACTGTTTTTTACTGCAGTTGTAAACCTTTAGAGGGAAACTGCAACTTTTGCATGTAAATCCCTGACACCAGTTAAGCTTTTCTATTTAAAACTTAGGAGATGTATAAACATATGCAATTCTTCGAATAATCATGCAGAATCAATAGTTAATAATGTTTCCCTGTTTGTGTCTTTTTTAAAATATAGTAAAAAAAAACAAATCCAACTCCTGCTGCAGCTTTATTTTGTTGTTGCACGTGAGCACATAAGAGCCTTAACTCCAAGGTGCTCCCCGGGCGCCTTACAATGGCAGCCCACTGCTCCACAGGGGGATGGGTTAAATGCAGAGGTAAATTTCTCCAATGTGAGATCAATAAAGTTCAATTATTATTAGTATTTTTATTTAATAAAAAAAAAAACAAGTATACACGAGTGCATACAAAAAGATATTTTGTTTAAAACAGCTCTAGATAATTTCATTTATTAAAGTGCAGCCTTGAAAACAGTTATAACTACATAAAAAATAGTAATATAAACATATGACTGTATTTACAGTTCTAACATAATTTTTTTTTAATTAATGTAATTTTTTAATACTTTTTTTCAATACTAGTTACATACTTGTTTATTTTATAGTCTGTATTCATGTTGTGGGCCCTATTTTATTATTTACCTACACTACAAGTTGTGTGTGTTTTTTGTTTTTCTTTGCTCCTCTGTTGTCTTTCTCTGACCCCGCCCTCACAGGCCAGAATAACACAGTAATTAAGGTCATATTTTGCACAGTTACAGTTTAAAGTATTAATAAATAACTTTATTTTCCTTGAGCCTAAAAATAATCAAATTAATTGACTTTTTGATTATGAATCCCACCTGGAATCAATGTGGACCTCAGGGTCCTGATGTGTCCCTTCAGAGCGGGCAGCTGCTGCAGGAAGGCGGACACTTCCGGCTCAGGTGAGTCCGTGTGGGCGGAGCCTCTGCACTCCGAACAGGTAGGCTCGTCCGTCACTCTGTAATCAAAGCTATAAACTGCGGTAAAGAGCATCTCCTGATACCGAACCAGCACCTCTCTGCCCCGGCAGCTGGTCAGCACTGTGATGGAGCTCAGGTCCAGTTCATCCAAGGTTCGCTTCAGTCGGTAAAGACGCTCCGCCATGGATCCAGAGTCCAGGATGTGCGCGCTCCCGGAGCAGCCGACGGACGGGAGCGAGCAGCCGGGTCCAGGTCGGCTGGCTGTCCCATACAGCAGAAAGACATGCGAGTCCGCCTCCTGCAGCAGGGAGGCTCCGGGTCTGCAGCTGTGGGTCAGATCCACTAGAACCGCCATCGCTCACAGTGAGAAACTGTTCGGAGTTCAGAGCAGCTCCGCTTTATGTCGCTGCAGAAGGAACATGATCACCGGCGGAGAAAGTACAGCTGCTTGCACACGACTTCCTGCACAGCCTCGCTCCGCCCAGACTGGAAAGCCCAAACAGCCGCTGGAAATTCTCATCTGGGCAGGTTTCCTCCTCTTCTGCTGACTGTTGCATCAACACTGACAGTCAAAGTTTGCAAAGCGGGAGCCAAACTGCAAAACAACCTCAGGTTGTGAAACCTAAAGGGACCCAGAGAGACAGCTGCTGCTCTATAGAAGAAATAAAATCAGTCATGTTATTGTTGCATTTCAGCAACAATGTGTTGAACTTTGGGCACTGGATCTAAAACCGCTTTGCTTTCTGTTTGCAGTGACTGCTGCTGGGACAGGGTTATTCCTGGCAGATTTCCTGCAACTTTTTACATGATTTGGTCCAAAACATCTAAATCAGAGCAGAACTCTGTTGCATATGGAAAGGGCTTTCCAGCAGTTTAAATCAAGCTTTGTGTGTGACCTGGAACACATCTAAATGCTGCAACATTTCAGAAATGGAGTCTGAGACCCCTGTCCCAAGAGAAACATGCATCCTTTACAAAAAAATAAAAAATCTACTTGGACTTTCACTCAAAGCCATCACTTTTACATAATGTTTTTTTCTGGAAAAACAGAAATTTTTTAAAGCAAAATAAGATATGAAAATAATATTTCTGAGAGCACAGCATGTGATACCTTGAAGCAGATGAGCTACAGCAGCAAAGGACCAAACTGATACCTTTGTCTGCTAAGAACAGGAAACTGAAGCTACAGTTCACATAGGCTCAAACTTATTTGCAAAGAAATAAGAAAAAGGTGATGTCTGATGCCATGTCTGATAAGCAACAATCAGATATTTGGGTAAACAAGCTAAAAGAAAAGCTGTTAGGCTTTTTTTTTTTTTTTTTATAGTTACACATTAAAGCTTTAAGTCAATCTGGATATCATTACTGACAATGATCATCCCCATATAATGACACTGCATTCATCTTTTCGATGCCTACTTCCTGCAAAAAACTAATTTAACAGAGCTAAAATATTTCTTCAACACTATTGCTTCAATGTTTTCCAATGGTCTCCATACTTGTTAGATCTCAGTTGAACAGAGCATCTTTGGGATGTGTTTAATAAATGAATGTGCTGCCTTTAAAACTGTAGTAACTGTGTAATTAAAACAAAAATGTATTTATAAAGCACTTTACATTTAAAGAAATTTCAAAGCGCTTAAGTCAATTAAGGGTTGATATTTTCAAAACAGGGCCCTAAAAATGTGTATTTGTCAAATATAATGCAAAGTAGAAACCTGGATGCATCATTTAAAAGTCGATCAATAAAGCATGACATGAGGCAGTGCTCCACAGCAGCACAGAAAAGGATTCCATTTCTTATGTGCAGGAACCAATTCTGGGAATAAAAACAGGTAAGTGTACAAAGGGCGGATAGTAAAAAGTAAACATGTCTTTTTATTCTGCATTACTGTGTTTGATTAAAAAGTTAGCAGGAATAAAGAAGATCCAAGCAGAGACAGGAGGATGATGAGGTGGATGGAGAATGGTGGGATGTGTTCTTGTTCATGCAATTTCTCCAGGATCATGCCAGCATTGTTATGTTATTTTTGTGTCTTCTCCCCAGGAATCCCAAAGAAGAAAATGTGATAGTGAAGTTTGGAAGGTACAGACGCATGGGCAAGTTTCTGTTTTTTTTGTATCATTGGAAGAGATGATCTGCTTTGCAATGTTTAAGAAGTGAAAGAATGCGATTTTGCATATATATCTCCAAGACTGTTCACTGCTCTGGAAGGGACATGCTGTAATACTAAACTTTCTATGTTGAATTTGACGTGGACTACCATTTTTAATCACTTCTGCTTTTAGCTGTTAACATGGAGGAAAGTTTGCTCCAACAATGCCTCTATCTCAGAGAAATCACTGTCCTCCAACTTTGAGATATTTTCTTCCTCCGTCCTGCTCTCCTTCAGAAAACCACTGGACAGAATTAGAACATAGGAAGCTGGAAATATTTGGGTTAAACCAGTATTATTCTGCTTATAATCAATGTCCTAAAAGAGGTGTAACAGTTTTAATTGCAAAGAAAATAAACTTTGTGTATACATATACAAACACTGATACTAAATGTAGATTTATATTTAATCAGGCACACCTGGGGGAGGCTTTATTAACTATTGTAAGTGTTTATTCCCCGATGGGATCTACATAGGGATTTTTTAAACTTATACTTTAATTGATAGTCTCTAAGGCTCTGGGTTCACTTGCGGAGGTGATTTTAACATGTCGGGGTAATTCAATTCAGTTCAGTTTATTTCTATAGCTCCAATTCACAACACATGTCATCTCAAGGCACTTTACAGATCATACAGTCAAATTGATTCAAGGTTTTCTATTTAAGGAAAACTAGTTGATTGCATCAACTCATTGACTCAAATACAATCCCTCACATTAAGTATGCTTGTAGCGACAGTGGAGAAAAAAACTCCCCTTTAACAGGAAAAAACCTCCAGCAGAACCAGGCTTGGTGTGAGCGGCCATCTGCCGAGGCCGACCGGGGTTCAAGGAGACAGAAGCAGAGATACAAAAGGGAGCTGTAAAAGGCGGCCCTGTCCAGGAAACACACAGCCAAGCAGACGAGCACCGAACCAGCTCCCATGTCAGAGGATGAAGAGAGCACATCCAGCCAGTCACAGTCAGAGAAACAGGACTACTCTGAAAAACAGGCCGACCTCCAGCATCTATAATACATCTAAACAAGGAACATGAAGTCAATGAGGACAGATCTAAGTCACAAAGATACCGTACATGGAGGGAGCTGAATCCAAAAAAAAAAAAAAGATTTTACCTTTTTTCTCACCCCCACTCATTATACTCAAGGCTTGTTTAATTTTAGATTTTTCAAAAGGACTTAAGTAGAGCACATAGCCGTAGTATTGTATCCATGGACCGATATATTCTCTTATTCTGAGAAAAAAGGAACGTTTTGTCTATCTGACAGATTTCCGTTTGCTCACATTAATGATAACTATTCCTCATGCTCCAGGGTTACCTGTGGATCAGTGCTAGGACCAAAGGTAATTATTATTAGAAAGCATGGGATTAATTTTCACTATTATGCTGATTATATTCAGCTATATCTGTCTATAAATCCAGATGAAGCTAACCCATTACATAGATTACAGGCATGTCTGAAGACATAAAAACCTGGATGGCTCTTAACTTTCTCCTTCTGAATGCAGACAAAACAGAAGTTATAGTCTTTGGACCTGAGTCTTTGAAAAATAAGCTGATTAGCCAGTCACTTCATCTAGATGGGATTAAACTGATCTCAGATAATAAAGAAAATTATCTTGGTGTTATTTTTGATCAAGACCTGTCATACATCATATCATATCAAAGAGGTTTCTAGAATTTCCTTCTTTACTCTGCAGAATATTGCGAAAATTTGAAACATCCTCACCAGGTGTGATGCTGAGAAACTAGTCCATGCATTTGTTACTTCAAGGCTGGACTATTGTAATTCTTTACTATCAGGAAGTCCACAAACTGTAATTAAAAGCATAAAAGTGAGATCATATCTCTCCAATCCTGGCTTCTCTTTATTGGCTTTCAGTGAAATCCAGAATAGAATGTAAAATCCTTCTTCTCACATATAAAGTGCTAAATAACCAAGGTTGGTCTGATGTCAGAGATCTCATAATTATGTAGGTTCCTAACAGAGCACTTCGCTCTCAATCTGCAGGTTTACTAGTGGTTCCTAGAATTTCTAAAAATAGAATGGGAGGCAGATCTTTTAGTTATCAGGCTCCTCTACTGTGGACCCAACTACCAGTTTGGTCCGTGAGGCAGACACCCTGTCTGCTTTTAAGACTTAAAACTTTCCTTTTAGATAAAGCTTATAGTTAGAGTGGCTCAGGTTATCCTGAGCTATTACTATAGACATAGGGACCCCTTTTTCATCATTCTGCTTTATTCTATCTCTATTCTCCCACTCTGCAGTATTTGTTAGTTCAATCCCCAATGTTATGATCTCTCTGCTTTTTCACATAATAGCTTAATCTGGTCTGTTCTGGTCTGTTCCTGTTGCTACAAGCATGCAAAGATTAGGGATTGGCTTGGAGTCAATGCAATCAACTGGCTTTCCTTAAATCGAAAACTTCCATTTGAATGTATGATCTGGTTAAATTGTAAAGTTACTTTAGATGACGTGTTGTGATTGAATTGAATTGTAAATATTCCAAAAGATCAAAACACAGTTATATACTTTCAATTTTTGAGCCTCTTAATATTAAGATAAAGGAAGACTTCAAGAAGTGGACTTTAATAGCATTCTTAAGTGTTGAGTCTTTGGTTGAATGAGTAAACCTGAACATTCTGTCATGGATACTGTGTTTGTTTTGAAACACTCCAAATTGAAATACCAAATGCACAATTAAATGAATTGGAAAGCTTATTATCAAGATATGTATGGCAAGGAACAAAGCCAAGAAATCAAATTGTACAGTTACGGTAGTTAAAAGCAATGGTGTACTTTCAGTGCCCTGATTTAAAGATAATTTTATAGCTGAGCAATAGAGAAATCTGATTTGTTGGTGTAGATCTGCTTTTCATACCAGATGGAAAGAAATAGAGGAGAATATATTGGCGCAGTTCCAATCCAAGCATGTTTAGGGATGACAAACTAATAAAAAATATATCTTTGAAGTAGGTAATAGATGGGTCACTCCAACCTTATGATTCTAAGGCGGTGCTCATTGATTTAGAGTTTACAACAAATAAACTAGATATGAATTTTAGGCAATTGACCGAACAAGGCCTTGCATCTTAAGAATACCATACAGCTTAGATGAAGGGGAATTCTTTAGACTACTTCAGGTCCGACACCAAGTTAACTGTTTAATCCCTCATTCTCAGAAGGTCTTTGAAAATTAGCTGTTGAAAGTGTTTATTTAGGCCTGTACAAAAGATTCTGGAGGAAAAATAATTTCTAGGCTGTATAGTGGACTTCAGCAGGTTAAAACGACAAGTACTATTTTCTATAAAACAAAGACAAAGAGACATACTAGTGGATCCCTGTG